AGAAGACAGCATTCATCACGCCGTTCGAGGTATTTTGCTATGTTAAGATGCCGTTCGGATTGATAACAGCTGGGAATACTTTCCAGCGCACGGTCCAGGGCGCACTTAGCAACCAGCTTGGCAATAATGTCGAGGCTTACGTCGACGACATCGTTGTCAAAACCAAGACAGGCGACTCATTGATTGACGATCTGCGGGAAACGTTCGACAACCTCCGACGATATCGCCTCATGCTCAATCTTGAGAAGTGCACGTTCACTTTCTGAGATGACGCCACCTGATGGTCCGCGAGCGGTCCGATGATATCAGTCAAAGGAAGGGCCTACGCTCAATCAAGTCATAAAGTGATTTCGAAAGGAGAATGCGGGATGTTCATCGAATATACTTATGTTGATGGCTTCATCATGTTCCGCTGCCCCCTTTTCACAAAGGGGCACAGGGATGTCACTCGCCGTGGTCGGGCCATTGGTCATCACTTGGCCGACGCGGCGCTCCACGGTTTCGCCGCTCAGACCTGTTAATTAAGAACCAACCTTTGATAAGTCAAGAGGAATGCGAACACAAGTATGTCAAGATAAATGCGAGAAAGATACCCCGAGGAGAAACCCGGGTCACGTCCTCTGGCTCAGAATAGTTATAAGCTGGATGGGCCCGAGCCTGAAGCAGATGGATCCGCCTACCAACGAAGTCTGCAACGACTTCATATCCCGACAAACCCCGTACTCGGAGATCGTCGATGATGTCGATAAACGACTGAAGAGAGGGGGTCAAGGGGGGCTTTGCGGTCCAAGACGGAATCTTGTCCGGTTGATCTTCGGGAACCACGAAGACAGGGTTCGAGTCCTTGATCTCAAGATAAAACCACCTATTCCTCCACTTGCTGCGAGAAGAAGGGCACTGGAAGGGAATGTAATGCGACTTCAGGCCATCCCGAAGTCGGAACCCGACGCAACCAGATACCCTATTGGATTCCATCCAACGCAGTTCGTAGTAAAAGCGAAAAAGATCAAGGAAATGCTCTACCCCAATGTAGGCCTCACAAAGATGCACAAAGATGCTAAGGAAGGCGATGGAATTGGGGTTCAAATGGAGAAGAGAGAGGCCATAGAAATTCAAAACCAGGAGAAGAAATTCGGAAGGTGGAGGGAGAAAACCGCAGAGAACATAATCTTCGATCGCAACCATGCGACCCAAGATGGGCTGAGGATTAGTACCTCCTGCTTCCCTCTCCATGGTTCCACGGCCAGGAAGAGCGCCATCCTCCTGGAGTTTCTTCAACGTTGCATTGGTGGAAGCTGATTTGCCGAGGTCCATTGCTGATCGAAGGTCGCCGAAAAGCGAGCTTAGGTTGATGAACTAGGGTTTCTTGCGGCGGCAGAGAAGGCAAAGAGTGCTTGGAGGTGGTGTGTGTTTAACAGGTTTGGCGGACTTCAAGATGGACTCCCAAAATTCCTTTAAATAGGCGCACTACCGACGGTGCGAATTCCAGGGAACAGAGAGAGATACCCGCCGGAAATTTCTGGTCCCGTTACGCGTGGCGGTTTTTTGGACTTCAGTTTAAAATTCGCTCACGACCATTGAGCTTCGAATGGCGTGCTCGACTACGGTCTATCTCCGCGGTTCTCGCACCGGGAATGACAGCAGTCTCGACACCCGAAGTCGCAAATGGTTGCACGAGTTCATTTTAAGCAGAAGTCGGGGGCTACTGTCAGGGTTACGGGTTAGGCATACCCTTTGCCCTTCGATATACGTTACATATCGATATGGCATACCCACGCGCATGCGGATATTTCCTGTATATTCTAAGGAAACCTTTCACGGAATCTATAGATGGGAAGAATCCTACTCGGGCAGAACTGGGTCGTTGGCATATAGTATAGGGTCTGATACCTCCGAGTTCTATGAGGAGACCTCCACATCTGCGATATAAAAGGGGCCCCCCGGGGGGGTTAGACATCGAATCTCAGAGCCAACACAACCTCCACAGCCTACGAAGCCGGAGCTTACGAGGAGCCAAGTCATCGAGAGCTAGTCGAATCAACTCGACTGCAATCTCGCCGGATCCGACAAGTTCCCTTGTTCTCTTTGTAACCTGTGTTTTCTACCATATAATCCCATATCAACTGGATTAGGGCTATTACCTATCAAGGGGCCTGAACCAGTATAATTCTTGTCTTTTGTTTGCTTGATGCCGTACTACGTAGATCCTTGTACCAACGTACCCCAATACCCTCTAACAAGATATATTAATCTATGATTAGCGGATGATTACTATAGCATCACTACAACAGATCATGGATTAATTAGGCTCGTTAGATTCGTCTCGCAAATTAGCCTTGGGGTTATGAAATGAGTTTTGTCGGTAATAAAACCTAATAATGCCACGAACTTACTTAAAATATGACACAAATTTAGCAATAATATATATTTCATAGCATTACAAATCCACTAAAAGCAACATTTGAGTTCAAAAGTGCAACTTAAATAGTTTCAAAGTTGCTTTAGCAAAAACCATTCCATACGAATTTTAAAGGAATTGGTAGAAAATAATCATTTATTTCAAAGTAACCTATATAATTATTTTTCATAGGATAAAATTCTCTAGAATTTCTCTGCCTTTTTCCATTGTTTCAAAAGAGAGCCTAATTACATGGTTGCTGGTCTCCGTCGACGTCCATTTGGCGGCCGTAGAGCAAGTTGGGGGCGGTCGATCGGTCGGACTGTCCAGGCCGGGGGCGGGGTCTTCTCTGCCGCGATCGACGTACGACGTGACGTGTGCGGTTGCGCGCGCGTCGTCGTGCATGCATGATATTATGATATGGTGGGTGACGCAGCTACGGATCATGCCGCGATGTGCTTCCGTGTCCGCCTTGGAAATTATTAACTGGCCCCTTGTTAGTTAACCGGCCGCCTTTTGGTTTTGAAGCAATTAACCGCAATCAACACGAGCAAATGATTTTGGGGGGGTGGGGGGGGGGGGGAAGGTGAATCACATCGGAGCTGGATTAATTAGCGTCAGACTCTACACAGGTGCATGCATATTGGGATGCAGTTACGAGTACCTAACTCATTATTCTGCAGGTAAGTTTACCATGACAAAAAATCGACCGTGGTAATTGTCAGGAAACTTATATAGATACACTTCATCATGCGCTTCAATAATTAATGAGTTTTGAGAAGCGGACGGCATGGAGTACGTACGTGTGACGACTAAACAATCTTTAATTGTCGCAAGCCAACGACTGATGTTCGATCGATGAAGATGCCAGCTCGATGCCGCTCGCCCTATCTGAACAGAGGGAGGAATGGTTCAGCCAGCAGAAGCCAACTGTTTACGTCACCCATGATCTGTATCCTTTTTAGCTCGCCATGGACACGCGAAAAACAAGCACATACCAACACCAATACGTCGTCAGACACTTACTACACGTCGTGCGAGCATGCACACACGTACACATATCCATTCTTACATACGTGATCAACGAAGCAATCAATTAATCCAGAAAACAAATGAAAACCCAGCGGCCGATCGACTGAATGGATCAAATTAACCATTTACAGATCGATTAAGCCTCTATCTAGATCCCACTACTAATTTGTGAGACGAATCTTTTAAACCTAATTGCTCCATGATTTGATAATTTGGTGCTATAAACATTTGCTAGTAACGGATTAACTAGACTTAATAAATTCGTCTCATGGTTTACTGACGGATTCTATAATTATATTTTTGTTAGTGTCCGAACACCTCGTACGACATTCTATATAATAACCGATGTTACATGTCAAAATTTAAACACCTCTAATAGATCGAATTGGATGAGATAGTACTGTAGCTGCAAGAGGAGATGTCCAAGTCCAATCAAATCACGTCATCGTCTCGAACGAGCGCATCGATCTGCCGACGCCGTATTGCAATCGAAACCTTGGGCGGATCGATCGACGTCCGCATCCGATCCCATACCTGCTGCTGCGGCGAACACCCGGTGCTGATGATGATGCAGAGCTGATCAATTGATGATTGGATTCTTTCCCCAACTTGGCCATGGCAACCGATGAAGTGACATGGTACAATGGGCCTGTTTGGTTTTCAGGGACTTATTTCTAATTCTTGTCATATCGGATGTTTGGACACTAATTTGGAGTATTAAACATATACTAATTACAAAACTCATTCCATAAGCTTGGACTAATTCGCGAGACGAATCTTTTGAGTCTAATTACGCCATGATTTTGACAATGTGATGCTACAGTAAACTTTTGATAATTATGGATTAATTAGGCTTAAAAAAATCGTCTCGCGGATTAGCTCTCATTTATGAAATTAATTTTTTTTATTAGTCTATGTTTAATACTCTAAATTAGCGTCCAAACATCCGATGTGACATAGGCTAAAAAGTTTTAGTCCCATCTAAACACCCCCTATACTAGTTGCACTTGCACGGCTTGGAAGTTGGAACAGGAGCTGTTTGAACGTGTGAGGATGATCAACAGTTGATAATTAATTAGTGTCATAATCCAATGTTGCCGTGCTTACTACACCAAATTGACACTGTTGGTATACTTTAGCAGCAGAAGCAGATCATATCTTTTTTTTTTAAGACTTAAGCAGATTACTTACTTCTATATCATTGTCAGGTCGGCTCAGTGCTACCACGACGTTCAAATCAAATCTACCACGACGTCCTCGTGGCGATTAATCCCGGCCGTCCATGTGGGCACCAGGGCCCCACACGAGACCCCATCCGCACGTCACCCTCCACGTCATGGATTCGGCGGGCGCGCGCGCGCGCGTCGGGTGGGCCCCGCAGCCCCCTCCCCCAAACCGCGGCTGACGCCCCGCCACGTCACGCCCGACCCGCCGCGGTTGGGCGCGAACCGGGTCGCCGTCCTCTCCAGCCTTTGCGCGTGGGACCCACCGAAACCGACCGGCCGGCTGGCGTCACGACCCCCCGCCGTGACGTCACCGGCCTATATATATCGCGGTGGCTCTCGGTGCGCTCTGCCCAGCACAATTTGCATTTCGCACGCAGAGAAGAGAAAAAAAAAGGGAAAAAGAAAATGTACCAGGCGATCCCGTACAACGCGAACCGGGCTTGGCCGGCGGCGAGCCGGCCGGCGACGGCGGCGGCGGCGCCGCCGCCGCCGCCGCCGCGTGGCGAGGAGGAGGAGGTGAGGAGGGCGGTGGCGGAGTGCCCGGTGGTGGTGGTGGGTCGGAGCGGGTGCTGCCTGAGCCACGTCGTGAAGCGGCTGCTGCAGGGGCTCGGGGTCAACCCGGCGGTGCACGAGGTCGCCGGCGAGGCCGAGCTCGCCGGGGTGGTCGCCGGCGGCGGCGGCGTCGCGCTGCCGGCGGTGTTCGTCGGCGGGAGGCTCCTCGGCGGGCTCGACCGGCTCATGGCCGTGCACATCTCCGGCGAGCTCGTGCCCATTCTGAAGGAGGCCGGTGCACTCTGGCTCTGAATCAACAACGCAGTAGCGATCAAGCTGTTTTCCTTTTTTTTTTCTTTTTCTCTCCTATTAGGTTCAAATCATCTGATGCTTTTAGCTTCTTTTTTTTTTCATGGCATTAATAATGGTGTTGTAATTAGATAGGACGAAAAACTTGAATTCTTTTAGGATTTTAATAAGGATGATTAGGAGAAGTGTGTGTCCGTTAACGCTACTGTACTTAATTACCTTGTAACTAGTACCTATACCTATTTTCGACCATGTAAATACGAATGGGAGAAATGAAGAGAAATATTTGCGGTATTTACTTGTCCCAAATTCCCGGTGTTTTTCCGGTTGAGAATCTGATGCTGCAAAGAAAAAATATTGCTGCACATGCGCTTGCAAACATCCCTTTCTCTTCCTGAATGCGTTGTCGCCGCTACCGTGCATGAACGGCAGCGTATTGGATGCTTGTAATTCATGGCCGGCTGTTGGTTGTTGTGCACCTGTGCTAATATTTTTCTTTTCCTAGTTTTGATATTCTGATATCACAATTATATATTTAGACTTCCCTCAAAAATTTATATATTTAGACACTATTGTTCTAAACATATGGAGTAAGTACTAAACCTTAAGTTTGATTAATATTTGCACCTCTCTATATCTGTCACTGACATTTTGCAGCCACCTGCAGGATTTAATTCAACTAAATCTGTAGCAATTTGGAAGTAATTAAGCCGGACGCAGGCAAGCCTGATCATCAGCAAAGAGAATCAAGCTTCACACGTTGGCATGTCTGTCCATGAGCTTCAGATAGCAGCATTATTCCACGTCAGGAAAGCAGAAAACCTTCCAAAACTAACGAGACACAAGCCAACCTGCAGCGTACTATTGTAGTACGTAGTTGTACCATGTAAGAAAAAAATATACAATCCTATGGAATTATAGATGTTCATATTCTCTACTCCACCTGATCATGCATGCACGGCTAGGCCGGTGGGAAAAATGACAAGAGGCGAGGCACATGAGTTGTCATAACGTCATTAACAAAAACCACACGAAATGCATTTATATATAGGTGTCCTTTTTCTTCCTTGCTGTCAAATGCGTACCAAATAAATCATGCAATAGTTTGGATACCCTACATTTGCACTGGCTGGAATGGCACTAGCCAACTACCTAGGATCAGTCAGTCCCAAAAATCATTATCTAGAAAAAGTTAGTCCCAAAATGAAAAAAAAAATCTTGATGCTCACTTTGAATTTTTTTCACACATTATGTGGAACAGATATCAAACTGCAACAGAGAATGTGAATATGCAAAAATTATAGTGGTTTGTTCGATTTGTAGGATTTTCAAAACATAAAAATAGTATGAGAATATATATGCAAATCTAAGAATTGTAAAACATAGGAAATCCTATGCAAATCTAAGAATTGTAAAGCTCGAGTGGATTTTTTTTTTTGGTGTGTGTGTGTGTTTTACATCAAGTGAAGGGATAAAATTTTTCTATTGTCGATTCCTTTGAAACAATGGTAGTTTTAGTGCCCATTTCAAAGGATGGTATAATTCTATACTTTTCCTTCACAATTTTCTCTTAAACGAATGAGCCGTAGTTCTTTCGCCCTGTGGGAAGCCGCAAGCTGGCATGCTACAAACCTACTACAAACTGATTGCTGAGTTATACGAGATGCTGATTGCTGAGTGCGTTTCCCTATCATCCCTATGGCACTAGGGCATGAAGACAGTTTACGTCGAAAAGTAACCCAAGTACAAATAAAAGAAGACTTGACTGACCAATCGAGATATTTTTATATGCATCTCTCACCGTCCCATAAAGTCATAACAGTTTTGGAGAAGCAATTGTACAACTCAATTCTTCAAGGAAAATTGCATGTTATGATCAGGAAAATGCCCTTCTGTTAGAAGTGATTACAGCAAGCTAACACGTCACTATCATCACAAATTCATTGAGATTTTCAGATGAGCTCACGCCAGAGTAAGGACGTTTACAGCTCAAGAAGCACGTGGCAAGAAAGATAGGGGAGAAAAGGAAAGGCGGTGAATTACAATCAAGAAATTCAGATTGTTTTCAGGACTGCAAAACTTTAGTGCATGACTACATGTCTGTGAGACTCTGACCAATCAAATAAATAAAATATATATGGTGTAAGAAATAAAATGCAAATGGAAAAGACTCCGTGTTAACCAGTCCAGAGTAACTGACAAATACATGCATGGTTTCAGTTTCAGCTTGCTACAAATTGTGGGCGGTGGATAGATGTAATTATGTAAAAGCTTAAGCTAACTCTTGCATATGATTGGCGTTATGAATTTTTCTTGGTAGGCATACTAATCGCGCACACAAAAATAAAATAAAATAAAAACAAATGATGCCTTCCAGAATTCAGATTCAGCAAAGAACCAACCATGAGACGTGCTGACATATCAGTGGCATGATAAGAGCGTCTCAGCTTAACAATAAAATAAACAAACAAGCATGTCGATGTAATCCGATGACGATTGCAAATGTACTTAGTCTCATCGACGTGGCACGAGCAAGGCCACAGTACGACGTGAGATAAAGATCTGCGAGATCACGCAGTGACATCAACATGTTTGACAAGTTAGCTAGCAGTTGGGCGGCAAATAGTGCTAGTAAATGGTTTGCAAAAGACACCTACTTGACGTCACGACTTTGCATATGTACTCATCAATATACGTCATACTCATCCTTAATAAACCACAATCTCCCCCTTATGATGGTTTCCAGCAACACCCTAAGTGGATGACTTTGGCTACATCTAGGATCTGGTCTCTTTGTTCAACCTTGTCAAAAACTTCGGTTCAGAAATCTAGATGCCTTGTTTCTTAAGTGGATTGTTCTTTTTGCACTAATTCCATGGAATCTATTTCTCCTTTTCCAATTAGCTGTGAATATTGGAGTTTGGCCGACCACAACTTCCTTTTGAAGCTTATTATGAGGCCTAAAGAAAAACGGGCCACCTTTTAGCGTTAGGGACTTGAGTGAAACAGAAGCGTAGAGGAAAGAAGAGATAAGCTATGGTCAGGCAGACCAGCTGACCAGGTGGCAGGTGCATATGTTAGTATGGAATACGGTGTTGAATATAAAAACAAACAAACTTGGAGGCAGTCAGGAGTCAGGACGCAGGAGAAACGTGTTTAAGGTGTAAAGTATGGTAAAATTGCATGGCTTAAAGTCAGCAACTTAAGTTTCTAGATGAAGTGATACAGAATTTGGTATTATGGTAACATAGCCTGCCATTTTCTTTTTTTTAAAAAAAGTAGAAATTATGTAGATCCATTTGAGTACCGACTTTGGGGTGTGGATTCTACTCCTTCTGTTAAAAAAAACTAATTTAATATTGGATGGAACTTTTCCTAGTATGTTGTTCAGATTCATTGTACTAGAAAAAGTCTCATCCAATACTAAATTGGTTTTTTATGGGACGGATGAAGTAATGCAAAAGAGAACCATCAAATTAAATAAAGTATATACACACTATTTCCATTGAATGCTATGAATTGATCTACAATGCTGAGTTCAAGTATCTTACCAAAACACACAGCTGAAGTCATGGGATGGGCAAGAGTCATCATGTTGTCATGCAGATGGCCCATGAAAGCAACCAGTTTGGCTGCAGGCCACACATAGCCCTTGGAGTGATGCAAGAGCCATCTCTGTGTATATCCTCATAATAAAATGCGGATTTTTCATGGACAGGGTGTCAAGATATGCTCACATCTGCGAACCATAAACATGAGAGTAAATGGCGATGAACACCCACCAAAATAATATCATTACTGAGCAAATGATCAAGGCAAACCCCCCAAAAAACTCAATTGTATTTCTTTTTCCAAATTAAATGAAAGTGCCAGCAACAAACTTTCATAAAATCCTTGTTTTTCTTATGGTTTATGGATCATAAAATTCTCAGTAGCAAGGGAAAAGACAGATAGGACTCTCACATTTACCTTTTTCCACAGAGAGCTGGCACATCATGTTCCATCATAATCGTGCATTAGTCTGTTTGATCCTACAAATCATTGGCAGGGCTGCAGCATTATATAGGAAAAAATCTGAATCGGTTAGCAAGCGCTACTACTAAAAAGAAGATAGCAAGTACTAACAAGCAGAAACAGTCGGTGGCCCAAATTTTACAGTTTGGACGATTTGAGTCCATTTTAGCCCCTGTCGGCTGAATAGCATGTAGCATGAAAGATAAGCATCAGTATGAACTTGAATACATTTGTAGTGAAAAGAAAGTAGGTAAGTAATACATATAAAACATGGCATGGATAAAAAATGGAGACCAGACTGTTAGAATTAGCTCCGTTTCAGTAAAAAACAACAAAGTACTCCATCCGTTTCACAATGTAAGACTTTCTAGCGTTGTCCATATTCATATAGACGTTAATGAATCTAGACACACATATGAATCTAGATTCATTAATATCTATATGAATGCGGGCGATACTAGAAAGTCTACATTGTGAAACGGAGGAAGTATGCTACAGGATACACAAAGGTGACTATAATCAGATAATCAGTTCAAGAAGGCACATGTAGATGTAGGGGAGCTTTAGGTTTTACAGCAGTAAGCTTCCTGCATTCCAGTCATTAAGCAACAGTGTGACACCATAGCAAAGTCTTTGCCTTGAACTAACACGTGCAGAGTGGAAAAAGTGGAAGCCATGGGGTGATGGGGGCCAGGCTTTTAGACTATCACTGTATCAACTCTTGTTCCCCAGTGAACCTCCATACTGATTGGTATGTGAGCTTCAAAAGACAGCTTCCTGAAAGCTATAAACTAGATCTTGAAGTCAACATAAGTGCAATGGGCTTCTGCGCTGCAGTAAAGGATCCAACTGAAACTTCATCATGGCAATTGTCTCTAGAGAGAATCAAACCATGAATCAAAATCGTCCGACGCATTTGAGGGTCCGGAATTAGGAGGAACACTGACACTTGAGATGTTGTCTTTGCCCTTAGCAGATGTAGTTTGTTTCTGTCCATTCAAGCACAGTGAAGTGTCAGTGAGCAAGTCGTCCACCAAATCATCAATAGATGTAGATATATCTATCTGGTTAGCATATCTGATGTCAATATTGTGGTCATTCTTGGAAGTTGAGCCTGGTTCAGCAAAACCTTCATTCTGGACAGAAGGAGAAGTCTCTGAAAGCAAGTCATCTAGAGCATCGTCACAAGCAGCAGTCACCGATGATTTGGATGAAGTGCTAGGTGTAACTTTCTTATCTGGTTGATTGACTTTCACATCTTGCAATGTTGATTTGTTTCCAAATGATTCATCTAAATTGGAGCCAGAAAGATGAGTTCCACCAAGCGTATTAAGAAGCATATCAAGTTCTTCTTCTGCAGCAACCACCTCAAACTTTGCCCCTTCACTATTGTTATTATCTTCTCCAGTGTCCAAATGCACAGAGTGAGAACTAGTCTTGGGTGATGATGTGGATTTATCTTCTTCAAAACATTTCAACTGACAATCTGCTTTCATTTGATCATCACAACGAATGCTGTCATGGTCATGAATCAAGCTGCCTTTAGCATCACTATCCACATCTGTGCCTCTTTGAATCTGTATTTGATTGACCTCAGATGCAACAGCCTATAACAATCAGGCAAAACCATGAATACACAATGAAAAAAAAAATAGCAAAAGAAAATGATCTTAATGGCAAGTAAAGTAGGCATATACAAAGCTTGCAATTAAAACATCAATAGATAAAAGCATCCAAGGCAGGGAGAAACAGCTAACTTACTAAGATGAATACTAACAGATCAAAAACCTTTATGAACCAACGACCTAACAATTGCATGAACCATGCACAAAGCTAAGTAATAAGGGCTCTAAATCATCCCAGTTGGCTGTGTATATCTACATGTGGGTATAGAGGCCAGATTTCAGTCCATTATCTAAAAATAATTCCAATCGTCCCAGTACAATAGGTAAAATAGACATAGTTTACTAGGGTTTAAATACCCAGTGAAATTCATTACTCTATCTAATCCTATGCAGATGGCTATTGTACTGTACAAAAAATAATCCTTCCACCACTCAGAAAGTTTGGAAGCTAAAAATAAGCTATGTGGCTGATGGCAGAACTAAGAGATCGTAGTGCAGACAGTTACCATGATGGGCCACTGGCAAAAGGTGCATTAGTGAAATATGAAAGGTAGATATCAAACCATAGTGTGGTTAATGCACAAAATAGAGTGCCTAGAGGAATGGCCAATAGGCAGATGGATATCAATAATACCAGCAGCAAATATCAACCAGAGCATTGAAAGGCTGCATTGCAGGCAGACCTGCCATGGCAAGGCATATGAGCTACAGGCATTAACAGCAGAGATTAACTTGTAGCAAGTGGAGGTCAAAAGGGTAGGCACCTAGGTGATGATGACTACTACAGATCAACCATAAGGGTACCAGCCCAAATTGTCCTTTTAAGGGTTTGTTTTATCACATGGAAATCAGAATAAGGAACATTGCACATTTTCATTGTATACAGATTGGGTGTCGCCATAGACCCGTAGACACTTCAAGAATAATGTTTGCATGAAGTAAGTTAAACCCCTACTTGAACATAGTGTAAAGGACCGTTTGTTCATAACGATTTTTTAAATTGAACTTTAGAAAAAACAAAACAAGGGTATATACAATTTCTCACGGAAAAGCAAAACTACAGTTACAGTTTACTAAAAGTAGACAATGTAGCACATGATCAAATACATTTGAGTACTTGGAAAATTAGCAAAACTAAAGAAAATTGCTATAAACAGACGTACCAGATCCTCAGGTAGCAGATCTTTCTCTAAGAAAAGCCTCTCAGAAAGCTTAAGCTTCGAAAGATGGGTGGCCAATGCATGCAGATCCATGGAGAGAAAAGGTACCTAAAAGTTGAGGGGAAACAAATTCTCACATAAATATCTAAAAATGTGATATGAAGCTGCCCAAATTCACAAGGTTTTAAGAGTTGATACACAAATTGTAAGGTACATAATCAAAACTACATGAGGGTCTACAAATCAAAATAAAGTCTAAATTCCACATCCCTGTCTGTTCGGACTACTATCATCAAGCTATCCAGACAAATTTCACTCTGTAAACTGACAATAGTCTCGATGCAAGAAACAAAGAGAGGTTTCAGTCATAGCCCCAACCATGCTCAAACAAAACATTTTAATCATGTACATGTCATTCGTCTCACTAAGACCAAACATTACAATAGTTTACTTGATGTGGCAGCACAAGACAAGTAACAAACGTAATATCACAGCACCAAATTTTACCTCGAAATCGGGTGCTAAATCATCTTCTAAGATGAAGTTGTCATCTTCACACCAGGACAAAATCTCTTCCCCTTTAGCTTCAAGCATAGAGGTTGAAGCCTGCATAAAATCTAAAAAAAAAAGAAAAATAAAATTAACAAACTTAGCAACAGTGGAGAAAGCAATCACAAATAGTAGGCCCACTTCCCAAAGGACACATCACATGATCATCATCAAAATAACCGATTACAGACATCAATTTTCCAAAACTCTCAAACCAAAATGTAAGTTGTGGTTATATACTAACTGACACAGCAGAAACTCCGTTTGAACTACCTAGCGGCCTACGAGATGTATGCTCAACTCAAATTCTATAAACAAAGGAGTACCTCATGATGTTTGGTATGCTCAACTGGCTTCTTAAGTGAGGTTTAATATGACTAAGAACAAAATATTTCTCAGTTTAGCTAGTGCCCTCGTTTCGTGTGATCGTGTCTATGTAATGGTAAGCAAGGATCGCAGTTCATGCTTGAAGCGATTCTCCCGATGAGCTTTGTCAATGAGGTAGTGGAGGTAGGGTCACTCACCGAATGGCGAATCCTGGGAGGAGAGACGCTGCGCCTCGCGGGGCTGAGCCCGAGCCTGCTCGAGCAGGAAGCCGAAGTCTGCGCCCTTGCTGCGCGGCGCCACCTCGCCGGTCCACTCCGAGGGGGCCGCGGATTCATCGGCATCGTCCTCGCCGTCGTAGCGGTCCCAGTTCGACGGGAGGTTGCGGCCGCGGGGGCCGGAGGCGGAGGCGGCGGCGGCGGCGGCTTCCGCGCGCTTCTGCCTGTGAGCGGCGGCGGCGGCGGGAGTCTGGTGGGCGCGCCGCCCCCGCACCGTGTGCGAGCGCTTCGCCTTCGCCGCCGCCTTGGGATCCATTGGAGGGAGAAGGGAGGGAGAGGGTTTCGGCGGCGTGTTTTTATTTGCAGTTAAGTCCCTGTAGGTTCGCGATTATTTCATCTAACTCCCTGAGATTTGGGGGAAAGTTTGCTTTAGGTGTCTACTTGCATATATTTGTTGATAAATTTTCTTCTAAAAATTTAATAGTATTTTTTAATAAAAACATATGTAATTACATTATAGCCTGCATGTAATTATAATGTAATGAACCTTTAGATTTTCAAGAGTTTAAGGAGGAAAAGAAATCACAGCGCACGCATACTATTTTACTATAAAATTGATACTCACTAACTTTTAAATCACAATATATAAGTGTGTCGCATCATCACCCAATACCAATTATTATATATAGTATTTTAAATCATATGTAAGTGTGTTACATCATCATTCACTAGCAATTATTATCTAGAGTATTTTAAATATCATGCAAGCATGACATCATTACAATTTAGTTATTATTTCTAAAACTCAATATGCAAGCAATCAAATCATTATCTTCACATCATTTTCATATTTATCAACCATATATATCTATCGTTTCTATAATATATAACATGCATTTATTTATCTATGCCGTAATAAAACGTGGGGTATCAACTAGTATGTGAGAAGATTCGGCCCCACGACCTTCGTTTCACGAAAATATTATTTATGAATGATTTTCTAAAGTTATATATAAGTTACATTATAAGTACATGCAAATTACAATATAATTATACCATGATTGTTGTGCTATAATTGCATATATCACTTTTTTTTAAAAAAAAATTGTCAACAAATAGTATTAGTACTATATAGGTAGTCCTTCAGGGGTGTGTTTGTAATTTAAAACTTTATCGAGGGCCTAATGAGGACGCCGACTCCCCGCCGCGGGATCGGCTGCCACTCCAGTCCCTTCGCTTCCGAGGCTTGACGGCGGCGGCGGAGGAGGATGCGCTTCACGGCGTCTCCGGTGGTGGAGCTGCCGGTGGGCGGCGCGGTGCTGACGTTCGAGCAGGACAACGACTCCTTCGAGGTGGGCACCTCCGTGTGGCCTTCCTCCCTCGTCCTCGTCAAGTTCGCCGAGCGCTGCCTCCGCGACCCGGCGCTCCCCTTCGCCGACGTCCTCCGCTTCCCGGGCACCCGCGCCGTCGAGCTCGGCTCGGGCTGCGGCCCCGCCGGCCTCGGCCTCTCCCGCCTCGGCCTCGCCGACCTCGTCCTCACGGACATCGCCGCGGTGCTCCCCGCGCTCCGCCGCAACCTCCGCCGCAACCGCCGCCACCTCCCGCGCGCCCCACGCCTCGCCCAGCTCCACTGGAACTGCCCCGCGCACCTCGCCTCCCTCGCCTCCCCGCGCCGCTTCGACCTCGTCGTCGCCGCCGACGTCGTCTACGTCCCGGAATCCGTGCCCCACCTCGTCGCTGCCATGGACGTGCTCGCCGACGCCGACCGCGGGGTGGTGCTGCTCGGGTACCAGGTCCGGTCGCCGGAGGCGCATCAGGCCTTCTGGGACGCCGTGCCGGCGGCCTTCCCGGTGATCGAGAAGATTCCACGGGAGCATCTGGACCCGGATTACGCCTACGAGGAATCCGATGTGTTCGTTCTTCGCAGGAGGCCGCGACAGTGAACTGGTGAGCAATTTGCTTACCATTTGCTCCTCAATGACTCTGCAGGTTTGCAAGAATTGTTTGTTCAGCTCCAAAGTTATTATGATCATTTGGTTGTGATAGAAACTGATGAAATTTGCCTCAATGTGTTGATGCAGTCAGTGGATTAGTGTTAGCCGATATCGCGACGGATTCGACCGCGTTGATGAGTGGATCTCTGCCATGAGTTATGGTTGACGATACATTTTGTTGCTATTTTTGCTACTAGAACTCTACTAGAAGAGCATATTAAGTGGTATTGATGGATGTTCATGATTGATTTTCTTCGTGCTGTTCTGTGATTGACAAAACAAAAATTAACTTGTAGATTTATCCTCGCTGAGGATATCCATGCTCAACCTTTATCTGTCAGTTTTTATTCGTTTTATGGTTGCTACCTTTCTGTCTGAACTTGTAGAAACTGTGAATGCTTGTCTTGATCTCTTCCTAATGGGCTAATAACTGATAAGATATCAGAAGGTGTGACATTATGCATCGCTTCATTGTGTTTTGTGCCTGCAATGTACAGCCGATCTAGCTCAAACTGATTACATTGGCACTTGGTAGATATTGCTATTGTGGTTTATGAAAGACTGGTAGTTTGGTACCGTGTAATGCTTGAACTTGTCGCTTAATTGTAGACTAGTAAGAATTTTGCAAGCACCAATTCTGCTGTGTCTGTCCATAAGCTTGAAAACTGAATGTCTCAATGCAGTATGAAGCGTGTCCAAGGATGTGTGCATGAGGTGGATGGGGTTTCCATTTGGCATTTTTATTGAATGTGTGGTTTTGTGGGAATGAGCACGGAATTCGCAACCAAAACTGACACTCCATTCTCCACGCATTGTTCATTTCTTGGATGCGTGATGTAGATGATTCTCTGCTCATTATTCATCGACTTGTGGCTGAATGTTGAAACCAATTGTAGTCCTGAATGGATTTGCTCATATGCATAGGTCCATCAAGCCTGTATGGCTGTATGTATCTCTTCGCTTTTTAGGGATATAATGCTGAATGGGTTTGCACAGATGCATTGATGTCCAGTTGAATGTTGAAACCAGTTGTGATGCTACTTGCAGGCATCGATTGCTGGAACATGTTTTGTTTCAGAGGAAATCCGCGAAGCACTGAGTGCTATGGAGGAACATTCTGCAGAGGATTCAACCTTATGATGAACTATTTAGCGTATTTTCTGTGGGTCCCATTTACCACGTCAGCAAAAACCATTTCCCAAAACATCGAATGAGTTGATTTATACCAGGTTTCTAAGGGACTGTTTGGTAGAGCTTCAACTTTGATCCGTTGGTGTCATAACGTGTCTATTGGTGTCTGTATGCTAATTATACTTAGATCATGGTGTCATATATATGGATAAGCTATTTAGCTATAGGTTTTGCCAAAAGTCGTTAGTATCGCCTGACACCTGCCATTATACTATAGATCCGCTCCTGCTCTTCCATTTAGCTCTAGGAGCTGGGTCTAGAATGGAGTTGTGGAACTGCCTAAACTCCACTTCACATCTCTAGTTCATTTTGTGAGAGAGTTCCACTTAGTTCTGCTCCTATTTTAGGGACATTTAACTATTTGTCACTTTTAAGATGTGGCATCTAAAGATTTGCCACTTGTTGTCTATTACATGTGGGTCCTCATGTGCCTATAACATGTAGGTTCTGTGGCAAATCTTTATCATCACTCATAAGAGGGGTAAATAGTTAATTATTCCTCTATTTTGGGTGGAGCTAAAACTGTTTGGTTGAGCTCTAGCTTCAGAAGAAGTGCCAAATAGGCTCTAAGATAGGGGAGGCCTTATACCTGGTTTTACGGTCGAGGGAGGTTATTCGATCAGAAGCAAGGGAGGAGGGAGGCCGGTGGGCAAATCCATTTTTAGGTGGGCCAAATGGAGGCCCAACTTTGTGTGGCGGTATACAGGCCGTGCAGTTGGGCTGGGACTCCGCCTTCCACACCGAAACGGCCCACGCGTACCGACGCACCTCGCTCATCCCATCCTAGCCGTCGGTTCCAAATCTGACGGCATCAAGGCCCTCCAGGCCGTGCTCATATAGGTTTCCTCTCCACCTCCAGCCCGGACTCTCCCGATCCTTCCCCAACTCGGCGTCGCGCCGCCTCAACCGAAGCAAGGTGCGTCTCATCTCTCTCGCAATCCTCTCCTCCTCTTCCAAATCCCTCGCCCTCCTCCTCGCCTTCGAAAATCGAGGCCCGATTTTTTTTTTTTGTTCTTCCTCGCAGGAGCAAAGCGGGGATTCAGAACGGGAAGGAGAAGGTCCGGTTCGTCCGCTCTCGAGGTTCGTGTTCGTCGCCCAAACCCTAGGTTCCCTCCCCTCTTCTCGTTTGTCGATCTATGTATGTTGTTGCGGTAGGTTTTGATTTTTTTTTCGGGGTTCGGTGTGAACGATCTGTGCCTGGTTGATTTCGGTATGAGAGATGCAAATAGACCGTAGCTGATGAAAACCGTAGCAGATCGAGGCTGCTTTGCTGCTACTGCTGCTGTAAATTTCCTGTAGATTTACGTTCGGGTGTAAATATTGAACAAATTGATGCGATTTTCCATTGGAGGAAATTGAATCTACGGTGACTGCTGCTCACGGTTGCTGCTGAGTGCTGCTTCTTGCAGTGGGGAGCCCGCCATGGTTGGATTAGATGGGCGGAGCTTGTTTTGTGGGTTACATGGGTGGTTCCTTCAACCGGCCAAATCATTTTTTATCATCAGTGGATGGAAGAGACCCTTAGGCTAGATATGTAGTTATGTGATTGGTCGGTGTATTACAAATTATGTCTAGGTTTCTACTGTTTCATTGTCTTGGGTTGTTTTCTTCGATTGAAGATTAATGATCTAAAATGGTTTGCAGCTTAGGTTTTTAAAACGGATCAAATAGTATTCTTTGTCGGGCGGATATTTCAAGGCCTACTCCGGAAGGAATGCCCTTGTGCAACAGGCAAAAAAAAGTGCCTCTGTGCCATGTTGTTTGATCTTTTTTGCAGTTGCAGGGGGGAGAAATACTAAACTTTCTAGTGGAAGAGACACCTCTATGTTGTTAACAGTGTCCAGATATAGGTTAAAACTTATCATGAGCAACATCTAGCTTCATGATTTCTTGAAGTGGATTACAGTCGTTTGTTTTTGTTCTTTCTATTCACTTTGTTCTTCTAATATTAACGGCTTTGAATAAGTGTGCAGATTAGGTTAAAAGGTACTGGGATTAGGGTTTTCTTGCGAGAGCTTTATAATGTTCCAATCACACACTGATCGTTTCAGGGGTAAAGTCACAGGAATCATACTTGTTGGTGATCTCAAAAGTTAAAAATGATAACATATGAACTTGTTTTTATTTAGCATATGCTCCCTTTGTTGTCTACTTTTTCTGTATGTAATGCGCTATGACGACTCTAAATCGAGGTATTTCTTTCTCCCTGTAGTTACCAGATAAGCCATTCATATACATATATATAGAAGCACTTCTTGAGATTTGGACAATAAATTCTGACAATTTTTTTTAATCTTTTTGTTATGTACAGCTCAAGTGTCAGTTGAAGTGTTTTGAAAGTCATGGCGGAGCATTTGGCTTCAATATTTGGGACTGAGAAGGATAGGGTTAACTGCCCCTTTTACTTCAAGATTGGGGCTTGCCGTCATGGGGATCGTTGCTCCCGTCTGCACAACAGGCCAACTGTGTCGCCGACAATTGTGCTTGCTAACATGTATCAGCGCCCTGATATGATCACACCAGGAGTCGATGCTCAAGGCCAACCTATTGATCCTGAAAAGATGCAGGAGCACTTTGAGGATTTCTATGAGGATATCTATGAGGAGCTGAGCAAGTTTGGTGAGGTTGAGACCCTCAATGTCTGTGATAACCTTGCTGACCACATGATAGGCAATGTGTATGTCCAGTTCAGGGAGGAAGAACAGGCAGTCGCTGCGCATAATGCCCTTCAAGGTCGCTTCTACTCAGGGCGCCCAATAATTGTTGAGTATTCCCCTGTGACTGATTTCCGTGAGGCGACCTGTAGGCAGTTTGAGGAGAACAGCTGCAACCGTGGGGGCTACTGTAATTTTATGCATGTAAAGCAGATTGGCAGGGAGCTCAGGAGGAAGCTTTATGGGGGGCGATCCAGGAGGAGCCATGGGAGAAGCCGCAGCCCAAGCCCACGCCACAGGAGGGGCAATCGTGACCGTGATGATTTCCGCCGTGAACGTGATGGTTATCGTGGTGGTGGTGATGGTTACCGTGGCGGCGGCGGTGGCGGTGGTGGTGACGGTTACCGCGGCGGTGATAGTTACCGTGGTGGTGGTGGTGGTGGACGCAGGGGTGGGGGCAGCAGGTATGACAGGTATGATGATGGAGGAAGGCGCAGGCATGGCAGCCCCCCAAGGCGTGCAAGGAGCCCAGTCAGGGAAAGCAGCGAGGAACGCAGGGCGAAGATTGAACAGTGGAACCGTGAACGGGAGGAAAAGCCTTGAACGAAAGCAGTGATATCTCTATGGATGGCCGGTTCATGCCTTCATGGCAATCACTATCCGCTGGAGTCGTGGTGTGCTGCTATGTTCTAAGTGGATATTTAGTGTGTGTCGTTTGGTACTCATGCTTGGCTGAGTAACCCTTTTAAATGCAGGATTCTGGATTCTATTTACATTGTGTTTCGTTTGACGTGTAAACCGCCGTTTGTTTTTAAATATGCAATATTGGATCTTTTGTCAGTCTATTATCCTGTCAATGCGCTTAGAAATCTGTGATTCTCTACTGACCATATTGCTTCTCATGTTATAGCGGTTCAAGCTGGCACCTGTTGTCTTGGAAAAAAGAACCCCATTCTTTCTTTTGCTCGTTTCAACTTTGCTGCCTGTTATTTGTTTGGCCTTTTGCTACCTGTTGTTGCTTGAAACTCTATAAGTGTATATACTTACGTGCTGTACGCTTTGCTCATAGCAGCCTCAAAAGCTATACGAACGATACGGCAGCACGCAGTTCATGGAGTGCCCGTTGCACCAGCAGATAAAAGGCAAAATAAAGCCCAGCTTGGACTGAACACAAGCTTCACATGAAATTCGCAGGATCACCCCAGAAAAGCTTAATTCACAGAATCTCCCAAAAAAAGAGGAAATTTTGTTTTTGTTTTTTTTAAGGAATTGGGGCATATGATTATGTGAACTTTGGCCGAGTTTAGATCCAAACTTTTTTTTTAAACTTTTAACTTTTTCATCACATCAAAACTTTCCTACACACACAAACTTTTAATTTTTTCATCACATCGTTCCAATTTCATCCAAACTTCCAATTTTAACGTGAACTAAACACACCCTGAGTATAAACTCTGGGCATACAAACCGAACTTCCGACAGCGCGTAATATACCTCTTTGGCATATGAGCTGGGAATCCTCGTAATATTCCTCTTTGGCATATGGGCTGGGAATCCTGGTACGACGAATAATCGAATATCCCTCTTCCTGTGTGTGGTACTGTGGTTCTCCACGAAACAAGGAACAGTCTGGCTCTCCTGGACGAAATCGCAAAGCAAAGCTGGGGCTGTGCAGTGCAGTGTGCAGCTGCTGTCACTACGCCGTGTGCTCACGCCGTTGTCTCAACCAATCTCCTCTACTACTGTACGCGTGCCGCTGCCGGTATTGCTGCCAAAACCAGCACCTCTTCTTGTTCTAAGCAAAAAAGTCGCCGTCTTGTTCTTCGAAAAAAGAAATTATACACTACCGTGTATAGCTTTCTTTGAGAAACAAGCTTGAGATAAACTAAACATTATTATAAGCAAAGTGTGTTACACTTTTCACTGACGTGCTAGTGACAAAACCAATTCGAAACCAGAATCACTTCGCAGTGCCAAAAGCTGGGGCTTTTCTTGCGGGGAAAAATATATGGGTGTTGTCATCCATCTGATGGCTATGCTAGTGAATAAACGTACTTCATCATCTTCCGGATCGTGATATGGAGTAATTATGTTTAGCTCTAGTATTTGTCTACGCGTCGTAAAAACTGATTATTATTATTATTCTTTTTTTTTTGGGTTGCTAGCCGCTTGTGACAATTGCCATGACGGCATTGCATTCTTGGAAGTTGGATATGTGTTCCGCGCAGATATAAAGACAAGATAATCAGATAAGCATAGTACTTAACCATTGAATATATCGTCTTGCAGACAAAATACATGATGTTTCTACTCTTCCCTTAACGATGGCAAACGAGGGGAAAGAGCACATATAGTGGTTTTCTTGATAGAACGATGTATATTTTCTTTTCAAAAAAAAAAAAGAAACTATCGTCGGTGGCTAGCTAGTACGGCTAAGTATGCGAAGGTTAAGAGAAGGAACAATGGTAGCTTATGAAGAAGAGCGAGGGTAGCGGTGTGTGGAGGAGAGCATTGGCAGTTAGAGGGTGCCGGCGGTGGAGAAGTTTGTTGTCGCCACCCATACCTAATGAAGTTCCTTACATTTTTCTCACCAAATAGTTCTGACACGTGGCGCACTAGTTATTGTAAAGAATGGTAATATAGCTTGTTTTATATAAAAGAAAAATTTGAGAAATATATGCTTTAAAGGGATACTTGGTTAATTATAGTCAGATCAATTTTATTTTCTACTATTCAAATTTTATGAAAAATATATATTTGGATGAGGATAACTTGTGTCCCGTTGTCTCATCTTTTCATCTAATGCTCAAGAATAGGGCTGAACTAGAATAATCTACATAAATTTGTTTTATTCTTCCTTTTTTATAATTTTAAAGTACAATTTTAATGGATATCTGGACATAGGGGTAGGGTCTAGTCCTAACTATCATACTCTTATATCCGCCCCCGTTTTCATCCTTATCTATATCAATATTTTTTTTGTCTTACGTAGGTAAGTAGGGTTATTATAGTTATTTGTGTATATATTGTTTGAATATGTCCAAAAACTTTAGAAATATAATCATTTTGGGGGTTGGAGGAAGTTAAAAAAGAGAGAGGAAAATATCAGCGTCCAAAATCATTGTGCCTCGAGTGTCTCCCGTACGTCTCGCCTCGCCTGCGCCGATCCCCATCTCGCGAGCAGAGCAGGGAAGAGGGAAGAGGCGCCGTCGTCGCGCTGCATCCTGGTGAGCATCCGCATCCTCTTCCTCGCTCATCCGTCCCTTCCGCCCACTCTTGTCTCGATTTTGCTCGCGTTAACCCTAGCTTCTCTTCTAGATCTGGAAGAAGCTTTTCTCTTAATTTCGGAGCCTTAACCTTAATACAGCTTGTTTTTCCTCCACAAAAGTTTGGGGGGTTCAACTTATTCCAAGTTGGATCCGCCACTGATTAGTGAGCAACTTTTAGTTCGGAGGGTGAATGGAAGATAAACTTTGACAGCTATGAGTTACCACTGATAACGTGTATTGTTTTGGTGAGTTGAGTGTGGTTTTATGTGGAAGTTTTCTGTGCTTATACTATGTAATGCTTAAATGTATTATGAGACACTTATACTTTGGTCACTTTCTTGTGGGTTGTCAGTTGAAGTGATTTTTTCTTTAGGCTTCTTAAAATTGTCGCCAGTAGATGAACCATTATTTAGATGAGCATGATAAGAATTGGTTTTCTCAGGGGGAAAAAATGCATGAAACTAGTCCTTTTTTGGGTACAGTTCTGGTGCTTTTATGGAAAAATGGAGTTGTGATAATAGTTTCATGTCATTAATACTTTAGAAAACTTCTGTGCGGAATAACTCTCAAATGCATAGTTAGGAGGAGATACTGTGGATTGGATAAGTGTGTCTTTGTGGGTAATGTTGTTCAAAACTTGAAATATCAGTCTATATGAGAGCAGCAGCCTCAGAATTGCCTTCTTTTTTGTTTTATGCAACTGCGTTCTTATGGTTCATAGGTGGTTTCACAATGGATTACACTGTATATGCAACAGCGCTGTTGACTGAGTATTTGATTTTACTGCAAGAATGGCTTAAGTTAATAAGTAACACATTGCCTTGGACCCTTTGATTGACGCAAGTAAATAATAGTGACTCATTTTTTCTTTTGATTGCAATTTGCTTACCCAGTCTCTTATTTACACTGTGGTATGATATCTATAGAGTTGATTATTCAGATGGCTGCACATTGTCATTTTACTCTTTTCTGATATAGCAAATTATCTCAGATGTCAACTGTTATGTGCCTTGCCTCCTTCATATCCCTATACTTTTTGAGCCCACAAAGTTATTAAAATTTCTAAGATATTGAGCACACAGAGCATTTAGTCATGGATTCACCAAGGCTTTTAGATATACTCCAGTTTTATTCTATGCTTGATACATGTGCATAAGGTATAAGAGAAATTTATTATGTTGTTAACTGTTTCTTTTACGATGAGATGGAGTACTACTACTTTGAAGTATATTGTTTTTCTCTTATTCAAAGCCTTCCAAAATTAGAACACTCATATGCTTGCTTTATTGGTAATGCCATTTTATTGTTGTCATATAAATGTTATTTTAAAGGCATTAGATTTGTTACATATTCATCCTCTGATTTGGATATAATTTTTATCAACATTGACACCCATCAAGATCAAGATTTTCTTATGGTTATTCATGTTATGTCTGTTGTTTGTTTATAGATGAAAATGAATGTATCCATGTAGATGTATCTTAATGTAACAAATAAATATGTCTCTGATCATTATTGTTTATTAGTTTTTGCTTCCAGCTATAGGAAATTTAATACACATAATTTTTTATGCCTTGGTGTTACTCATCAAAGCATGTGATCATTGTGTCATTGATGTTTGTCAATATATCTCTCCAATACTATAAACAATTCATTGGAGTGTAAACTATGAATCTGAAAGTGATGATTCACCATCTAACACATGAATTCATGTCAATGTTTTTCAGTCATGTTTCTTGAGTTTATAAAGTTAACATTAGTATGTGATATAGAAATTACTAAATTACATGGGTCGCCACTCGCCAGCACAACGGCTGCAGTTGAGGACAGTTTGGTTAGGAAGGTTATCTGGTAACATATATGTACGTACCTGCCATTCAACTGCTGTGTGGCATACTCTTGGAGTGGAAGATGGGAAACTCGATAATTGAACTTTGCAATATACTCCATCCGTTTCAGGTTATAAGACTTTCTAGCATTGCCCACATTCATAGAGATGTTAATGAATCTAAGCACACATATATGTCTAGATTCATTAACATATATATGAATGTGGGTAATGTTAGAAAGTCTTATAATATGAAACGGAGGAAGTATAACTGAAGGAGGCAACAAAAGTGAAGAAATTTTTTGTACTTGGTGTATGCTTTTTATAGGAAATGGTTTTGTAAATCATGCTATCATAGTATATTGTAAATCTTATGCCTTAAGAATCCTGAACCTTCTACTTGAGATAGACCTGTCTATCAAATGTGTTAGATGTGTCTGCTTTTGGCATATTCGAGCTTTTAGGTCTAAGTTAATAGTGTTCTTTATTTCTACAAATATGTAGATTTTTCAACAGATATATCCCGAAGCTGGATTTCATTTAGTGTCAATCTCCTGCTATTGCCAACACTCAATGTTGCATATTTTAGTTTTGCTTCCACCCTTTCATGCTACTCATCTGATTGAACTTTTTTTAACCTGGATTTGAAGTACGAGGTAATCAAGTATGTTGCTTGTTTTGCAGGACAGATGATCTAACTAATCAACTAGCCCTTTGCAACGAAACCTTACTAACCTTGTATTACTAGACCAATGTGGGGTTTTACTAGGCTGAAGTCTTATGGCAGAATGGCATATTTTATGTTGTAGTATGTTGTTATCAACTGTACAGTTCACCAAAATGTGATCAAATCCTGAGATTCCACTGATACCAAGCAACTCCAGTATAAATAGCCCATGTTATAGCAGCAGTTGTTCGCATACCAAGTTTCCGACCATGCTAGAGGACATCATACTTGATGCCTTTGAGGTTCATTGTTGGGATTGTTGGTTATACTGGAGACTTAATATACGGGATTACAGATGTTTGAAAACAATACGGACATGAGGAATTAGGAAACGAAGGTACTAACTGGACGTCGCTAGGTGGTCACCGGTTAGCAGACTCAGCACCTATTTGTCAGTAAGAGGCAGTAACCAGTCTACCTGGGGTTCGGTACATGGATGGGATCAGCATTCAAGCAATTCAGGCGGTGGCGATGCATGACCATCAGAGTTAGTGTGCCTCCGTAAGCCTAGCTAGCTGTAGCAACACAGGGGGTCTTTGGTCCTGGGCAGTCAATCGGGTACTGCCTTCTGGAGTGATCTCTTGATTGTTGTGTTTTTATTAGTCAGGTTCCATGTGCTACTGCACATTATTCGAGAGACTGGAAAGGTGAGTAATTGAGAACTAGGTTAGGAATAAACCCAATCAAATCTCTTTTTGCCCATTTCTTCCTAAATCAATCTATGTTATATTCACTTAAAATCCAAGCCTCTTTTGGGTATGCCTTCCATTCCTGGTTAACATGTAAATACTGCATTTAATGATCAATGTCATTCAGTTGGAGATTTTGTAGATGCTCCTTTTCGAACATAATATCCTGCATGTAGGTTAATAAATGAGTAGCCTAACAATGCATAACCAGTACTTGATTATATTGGTGGTAATTGAGATAAATTGTTCATAGTTAATGTTCGGATCAGTTGAAAGATTTCACTTGTAGAAATATATGGAGGAATAATTTTATGATAAAATGGTTAAGGGAGAGAGGGAGGGTTTTGTTTCAACGTTAGCCGGCCAAACAATTCCATATATGGGAAACATGGTTATGTTTAGGGGCAAGTGCAATCACCACAGTTCATAGTGGATGGCCGATGATGTCGGAACATAACTCTGGAGTTGAAACTTCAATATATTTCTGCGAAATGATATATTCCACAGGCCATAAGGTGGTATGCTTCCATTAGTACATGGCCTCAACTTAATCTTTTCAGTGAGAAACTGGACAAACATTTCTGTTACTTTAGTGGCGAACTGGCAAAATAGAACTTTGTAATGCTTTGGTGAAGTAGTTGAGGTGCCTCAAGAATCAAGATCAGCCAAATGTGTCTTCTTCTCTAAATTTCTGAAGTACAAAGTCTTTCCTTGCATTTTGCATGTCTACTTACGCGTCTTGGATTGCACTGCATTGCATGCTAATCATGTTTGTTACTCCAGTTTGCAGGATAGGTGATGATAAAGCATAATAGTTGACCAAACTCGCTGTACTTCTCCTTAATCAATTATGTTACAAAGAAATATGGTGTGGACACATCAAGTTGCCAGTCCTGAAAACCAAGTTCAACCTGAAAGTTTCTATCATGGAGGTGCTGGGAGCAACTTATCTAACCTGAGTGTGCAAGTTGCTGTTGGAGTTCCAGGAAATACTGATTTCCGGAGTCACTATGAGAGCATTAATCTTCAGCACCAGCATGTTCAGAATCCATACCCACATGTGGGTGTTGCTTCAAGTTCTGTGTTCCCATCTACTATGTACAACCCCTGCATATCAACAACAGCAGTGGACAGATATGTTCCTCCTATTCAAAGTTTTGGATTGGGCAATCCACTACTACTGCCTTTATATCATCAACTTGCTCAAGGATCCATGGATGAGAACGGCAGCAGTGGCAATTTTTGTGACAGCGTCAGGGAATTTATCAAGAGGAAAAATGCATTACTTGTGGGTGGCCATCATTTTGTTAATAGTTTTGCAAGCTCAAGCTCATCTGCTTATGTGCCTCCAAATCCTTTACATAGGTCATGGAACGCTTCATTTGAAGCAAATATCCTACCCAGCACTGGAGTTTCCAATCCACCAGAGTACTCTTCTGCAGATTCACTGAACAATTCCAATTCGATGGCTTCACATCCAGAATTGGTGCATCATGGCAATTATGTATTTCCAGCTGGTCACATGAGCCAATACAATGCATGGATTGCACAGGCAAGCAGAACTGGTGGAGTACCACAGTGGGAACATGGCAATGCAGCGGCTAATCCTCCAGGTAAGTAAACCTTGTAAATAGATCAAGTGGAAGTTATGATATTTTTTAAAATGATGGTTTGAGGGATCATTTTATGGTTAGCAGTGGATTTGGATTGCTAAAATTGTGAATTGGGAATAGAATAGAAAATAGTGAAGTGAGTGTGATTTGAATTTGTAATTGGAAAACCTTGCTTTCAACAGGTGGATTTGTTCATTCTGGAACCATAGACATGCCAAATGGAGGTCTTCAGGGATACCAAGCTGGCCCTTTTGCCAATTATTATGGGCCTCTGCCCCATTTCCACCAAAATCCTCTGAATAGCATGCAGCATCCTGCTCTATTTAATCATATCCAAATGCAAGTACCTCATCAACATTGCCTCAGTAACAATTTATTGCATCACCCTTCTGGCAATGGCCTCCCCTTGGATCCAAGAATTCTGGCAATTTCATCCAATTCTGGGCATACCTTTGGGCCTACAGCTCAGCCATCTTTAGCAAACCAAGTTAATGCTGGGAGTTCGAGAATTCAGCCATATGAGGTGATTCACATTTCCTCTGTTTTCCTCATAGAACAATGGCATATATAACTAATTAGATGATTAATGCTGGATGATATATCTGATCACTGTTTTTTCAACAGTTCCTGTTTTTCAAACTGGACAATACTAAATTTAAAGGATATCAGAATTTAGTTGAAAAATATCACCTGATATTGTTCCTGGTACAATTCATAGTTTTTGAAACCTTTTAAGGTTTTTTTTTCCTTGTGAAATGATTTAAACATACATTGGCTGTCATGTTCCAGAAATTAAATTCCCTCGCTTTCTTAGCAAACCATATACCATATCTGACTTTTCCCTGCAACCTTTTTATCTTGTGTACCTTTTCCTACAAAATAAATGAAAACATATAGTTTTCATTGCGGGGTATATAATCTGCCTATTGCTGTGCCTGGCAACCTGCTGACCCTAGTTTGGAAATTAAGTACCTAATGCTCAGTTGTTTTTTTTTTTGGCTATGCATACCATGTACATGAAAAATGGTATCCTTGGAGTTGGCTCACTGAAGCTGAATGCCTACTCTCTTTTTTTCGATAAAGGAAGCTTTATTTGTTTCCCATTTGTGAGCCATTTTGTAATTCATTTCCCATTAATACGGATATATGAAGTAATAAATTTGTCTCTATAGAATGCTCCGTTCGTGGATCTTTCGAGATTGTATGAAGCAGGAGTTATTGATGAACATAGAGATATGCGGCTTGATGTAGACAGCATGACTTATGAGGTATGGAATGGAATGTTAGCTCATTTGGGTTGTGGGTTACATTTAGTTGATAGATTTATTTGCTTTCTTCTCCTACAGGAGCTTGTAGCGTTGGAGGAGCGGATTGGAAATGTTAATAGTGGTTTTACAGAAAGCTACATTGAGGAAAATTTGAAGTCAAGTTCTTATGTCCCGGACGCTGATTGCATGCCTGATCAGTCTTCTGTGGAGAAGGATGCTTGCATAATCTGCCAGGTCTTCCTCCTTTGTCATTAGTCTATTGTAGTTTTCACTACTGTATATAAATTTGTATATCACTAGCTATCAGATGCATGATCAATACCACAATTGTTCCACAATAATGATAAGCTTCACTCACTATTTTTAGAAACACTACTTTTGCGTAAGATAGTGTACATATATCCAGTTAGTTTTGACATTTGACAGCAAAGTAGTTAAATATACATTTGCAGCCAATACATATTTTATGTTTAAAAAGGGAGTTTGCTCTTTGCTATGTAGGAGGAATATGAGGCTAAAGAACTCGTTGGAACCCTTGGTTGTGGTCACAAGTACCATGCGATGTGCATAAAAGGGTGGCTGATGGTGAAGAACCTGTGCCCCATCTGCAAAACAACAGCTTTGCCAGCTGATAGAAGAAACGGATGATGGATGCCAATAACATTTATTGGTCATTTGCAGCAACAAACATTCAGCTCAGTTTTGTACATAAGACATGCTGGATAATGGTTGTGCCTGTATTTCCGTTGTTGTGATACCTAAAGCTGTACAGTGAGAATCGCTCATCTTGTAGATTGTTTTAGACACTAAATGTTCCATGATGCGCGAACAGCTATCATCATGGCATAGCTATTAGATCGCTCAATTTTTCCCTTTTTATTGTACATGATATTTATCTTTATTCTTTTCCCAAAAAGAAAAAAGAGAACTTGTAGTTCTTCTGTACATTGTGAAATTCAAAGAACTAAAGGAGTTTCTCAGCTCTGGAGTGATAATTCTATAGCAGGGCAATCTTTGTTTTAAATGTGCGAATAATCATTCATGCAGGTATTTAATTGTTCCCATGTATTTTTTTTTTGTTTAACCAATCGGCTGTTTGGTTTGAGGATTGAGATGGTCAATTGACCATTTGATTCTAAATTGTTTGTTTCGTACGAGGAATAAAACAGGTTTGTTCATCACTTCATTCCTCAATATATTTAAAGAATGATCCCACGATGGATCTTCATCCTAGATGGCCTGAATCCTCAAACCAAACAACTTTCTATGTGATAAACTGAGAACATTTTGATTGTTCCATGTCAAATGTACAGCATTACGGATACAATGCAAAGCAAGCATGAAAAGAACAAGCATGAAAAGAACTAGATAACTGTAGCAGCAAAAAATTCATGAGTAGCAGTCTAGCTAGCAGAAGAGAGAAACTGTACAGACAATGAACTGTGCTACTGAAAAATAGACAGCAACATATAAATAAATCAAGCGGTCAAACCATAATAGAAGCAAACAAATGGCCTGTATGAAAATCTGACGGCCTCACAATTTCATATCCCTAAACTATACCGGCAAGATTATGTCCTGAATGAATTAATGTTTCAAATGGCAAAACGAAGGAGACACTTAGTAACACATGAATACAGATGAGGTCTATGAATGCAATAACATCCTGTGTCCTACTGCATAGTATCAACCACCTCGGGTATCTCCATGTTTGTCAAGTCCTTTCGATCTACGCTGATGAACAACAAGCAGACTTTTTCACTGCAGAGACATCATCTTTGCCACCAACATTGATGGTCTGCCCCTTTGGTGGTGCAGCTGGGTCATCGCCGATGTCAAGAGCCTTCTTGCTCACTACATGATATATCTGGGTGAGCACTTCAGTGAAGGCATTCTCCACATTCATTGACTCCAGGGCCGACGTCTCCATGAAGAAAGTGTTCTCTTTCTCAGCAAATGCTTTCGCATCCTCAGTCGAGACAGCCCTAAGGTGGCGCAAATCTGCCTTGTTCCCCACAAGCATGATCACGATGTTGGCGTCCGTGTGATCCTTGAGCTCCCTCATCCACCTCTCCACATTCTCAAAGGTGACATGTCGCGTGACATCATAGACAACGAGTGCCCCTACTGCTCCGCGATAGTATGCGCTTGTAATAGCTCGATATCTACAGAAGCAACACAAAATTATGATAATTTGCTGTGCAGGAACTAATTAATAAACAGCAAAAGCGCATGAAACAACATTCCATCAAGCACAGCAGGCAATAATATGCCGCATACTCCATGACTCCATCAATCTAACTGTTCAGCACAGGGCATTGGCCATAAAGAACTTTTTGTCCCCAATCTACACACTTCCTAACTCCATGATAATCTAGATGTCTGTACAATAACAATTTCCTATGATAATCTAGATGCCAGTACGACAACAACCTATTCTATGCCAATGCCTGGTCCTACACAATCTTTGCCTACAATATCTTAAAATTTATATAAAAATGTCATGGCCTGGGGCATTTTAGGGTGTAATCAAGGAAGTCTATGAATTGAAAGAATGCCAAATTATCACTCTTCTTCTTAATCCTACACAAGGATTTAATCACGCCAATCATATGAGCGCGGCAATTAAATATCACCCGAAATCAGAGATCCACACGAGAGAAACCCACTAATCGCCAACGATTAACGAATGGCCTAGCCTAATCTAACAAGCAGATCAGGATGAGCGGAGCTCGCGGGGGCACAGGCGGATCTGGGGTGGTGTTTACCTTTCTTGCCCGGCGGTGTCCCAGATCTGGGCCTTGACGACCTTGTCGTCGACGTGGATGCTGCGGGTGGCGAACTCGACGCCGATGGTGGACTTGGACTCGAGGCTGAACTCGTTGCGCGTGAAGCGGGACAGCAGGTTCGACTTCCCGACCCCGGAGTCCCCGATGAGCACCACCTTGAAGAGGTAGTCGTAGTCGTCGTCCGCCCGGTACGCCATCGTTCGGTCACACCCCCCACGAACTCAACCTTCTCGCCGCCGGCGCTGCGCGGCGAGGGGGCGGAGCGGATGGGAGCGAAGGGCGGAGGGGGAGGGGAGGGGAGGGGAGAGCGTTTGTCGCGGTGGGTGCGGATCGATCTCGGTCTCTCCTCTCCCCAACTTTTTTGGGTGGCTTTGTTTGTGCGGGAAGGGAATGCAGTTGGTTGGGGTTGGGTTGGGTTAGTCGCGCGCACGCCGAAAATTCACGGGCAAAAACGGCTCGTTTTGGTCTTTTTTGTGTGTGCGTGTGCCTCCTGCCTGATGCGGACGCGGTTGGGTTGGGCCACGTTTTCTTTCAAACAGGCTGCGTTCGTTCGGGTAACATTTGAGGGAGATAACATCTTGTTTTTCGCGCGCACGCTTTCTAAGCTACTAAATGGTGCGTTTTAAAAAAAAATCCTATAGAAAAGTTGCTTTTAAAAATCATATTAATCTATTTTTGAAATTTAAAATAATTAATACTCAATTAATCATGAGCTAATGTCTCACCTCGTTTTGCGTATCTTCCCAATCTCGTCAATCACCTTCTCCTCAAACTCACCCTAAGTTAAATTGCAAAAACTACTCCATTCATCTCATAATATAAGGGATTTTGGGTGAATCTGGACAAGAAGGGAGGATCTCATAAATTATTTTGTTACTAATGATATATTATATCACAAGTTATTTTGTTACAAATGTTCATCAACTTACTCAAATTTATTGCAAAAATCACTCTAGTACGTGTGCTTAACCGAATCAGAAAATGTGAGCCATCAATGTTGTTTTACCAAAATTAAATACTTGATTCCACGGATAGAAATGTTGAGAAGGATTTAAATATTATCGCACTAAGTTTTGCTATATGGAGTTTTTTAAAAAAGTTTTGCTATATGCAAAGAAAAAAGTTCAATCAAATATGAAAAAAAAAGTCCAACGCAAGCACTTAGAAAAAGAACTTAGGTCTAGTTCTTTTTCTCTACTCAAAACTTCAACTACCTCGTTTTCCGTTAGCACATTTTTCAATAAATGGTATGTTTTTGACAAAAAAATTCTATATAGAAATTGTTTTTAAAAAGCAAACAAATTCATTTTTAATTTATAATAGTTAATACTTAATTAATATTATGCTAATGAGATTTCTCGTTTTGCTTGCAACAAAAATATGTCTCCACAACTCCATATGGAACAGAGCCGGTATGCAGTGACTACATAGCGAAAGGTTTAAATTAATAAACGGTACATTTTGTTTAGAAGTTAATTTTAAATAATAGATAAATACATTTTTTTAGTTTTGTAAAAATTAAAAGTTATTTAATTATATGCTAATGGTTTTTTCTATCCTAACCTCACCTCTATCTTCGGTAGAAACCAACGGCACCTTAATCGCGTGTGTCAAATCACAGAAAAAAAATTGGCTCGTTTGGGGGTAATTTTCGGGCGTTTTCGCAGGGTTATACATACGGCAAGCGAAACGCGTCTGAAGCTGCGCCGAGTCAAGGTTGTCGACGTCGAGAAATCGAAAAGTCTCTCTCGCTCAGAACAAACCGATACCAGGTCGCATCAGCAACGCGGCAGCGCGCGGCAAAGTGAGAATTGTGCTACGAAGTTTGGAACACGCTTGCTTGTTGTTGGCTGCGTGCTACGTACCACGTACCACCGCGCACCGAATTGAAGACGAAAAAGAAAAATTCGGACGATCGAGAGTACCGGCACACGATCGCTACCAGACAAGATAAAGTTTTCCGTGCCACGGATCAACTCATGGATCGATCATTCAGTTTGGAGTAACAAAAATTACGCTGTGGCGAGATCGAAATGCATGGAGCAGAGAGGATTCCGCGTCATGGGCCGTGCCGCATGTGGACGCATTTGGTGCTTGCCTGCCTGCGCCTTTTCTGTTTCTTTCCTGGCCGTGTATCATCTTACGCCACATTGTTGTATGCAGAGTATGTATGTACATATAGTAGGAGTATAGTAATACACGGTAGTACTAGTATAAAATGCTACACAGCGATTTCCCAAACGTATCTGGCCATGCAAGCATTCATGTGTTCCCCGGAAGTATTTACTTGGGCAACCCATGTGGTGGTTAGCAGTTGGTGCTCCTCTACCTGTATTTAGCTGCATGCATGAGAATATATACATACTATACAGATCACAATTTCAGTCGACACTAACTCGATCCAGCTAGCGAGCGCTTCACTGCAGCCAGGAAGGAAGGAGGTAAACGTACGTTAACGATGTGTGTTAATTTGCCTGCCTCCCACGTACTACTGTACTACAGGAACAAAAAAAATGTCGCGTCTGGCACGGCAACAGGCAGGGAGATTCCCGACGCGGATGGCTTGAATGGTGTACTGGAGTAGGGGTGGCCCGACCGGGTTGGTCGTTCCTTCGTCCCGACGTGCCCAAATCCCCATGTATATATGTGTGCATTGGCAATGGGCATTCCATTGCCATGGCTGTGGTCCTGGTCCCCCAAAAGGCAGTCCCAATTCGTGTCTCGCCCAAAGGAGGCAAGCCTGTCAGGCACTTCAGCAAAATGGCACGCTGCCTAGCTTCGCCGTGTCTGCATCCTTGCATATGCATGCTGCCATGGTGAACACGCTGTTATGGCCCGGCCCAGCCAGCCCAAAGATCGATCGGTTGTGCACGCACAGCCGGGTGAAAACGGAATCAGAATCAGTAGCATCTCTTTAGAAACGACGATCAACCGGTAATTGATTATATTTACCATTTTAACTACTACTAAGTATTGATATTAATATGATAAAAAAGATATTAGAAAAAAATAAAATGTAAAAATAAAAAAAATGATATGGTTAAAAACGGTACCTAATATAAAAAATAGTGATTGATCGATCGAGAATTTCCGTAGTTCATCCCTATCCACGGATGAACCGTGAACGAACCAACTTCGACGAGACCCAAAGATACCGGGGAAAAAAGAACACATCAGAGCGTGCAAACGTGCACGTACCCACCCAGCCACCCACGGACCCGCGCGCCGTGTGGCCGTGTGTCGCATCCACCTCGAGTCAATGCCACTGCAAGACACGCACACGTACGTACGCGCGCATCACACGTACGCGCACGGGTGCGTGCGGATGGTGCGGTGCCCGGAATCGCGCTGCTCCGCAATTACTCCGACCCCAATCAGAAGGCCTCCTCCTCGGTCGCCCACCGCGGAAGGGAGGGAAGAAGCAAACGGACGCGCGTGCGTGCGTGCGTGAGATCCGGCCTGGCTACCTCCGGTTTTCCCTCGGCTCGTATCGTAGGCCATCATTTACTCTCCCTCTCCCTCTCCCTCTGCAGCGCAGGTCTGCAGTTTCTGCACACCAGCTGCATCCATGATCGATTACAATACTCTACTGCACCCACTGCGTATCCGTCGAAGTATGCATTGCATCTCGTCTTCACTGGCCGGCCTGCATGCCCGGCACTTCTCCCGGCCTCCCGTTCTCCATATCGTCATACATTATATATCCCCCACATTGCCATTTAATACCAACAAGAAACCATCGGATGATGACTATGACGGAGACTGAGAGACCGTGCGTGCAATTGCTGACTCTTGCTGCGTGCGACTGCGAGAGGAAACGGGAGTAGTACGTGGTAGAATCCTATCGATCTCGATCGATCGGTCGGTCTCCGTCTGCTGCTGGAAGGGAGAGACGTTGATCGATGTGCTCTCTTTCGCGTGTGCAGCTACGCTGAATTGAAGGGGAGAGGGACTAGGAGAGAGCATGGTAAGATGGGATGGGATTGACGCTGTACATGCACGTTTTGACCTTTCATTGGAAGGTCTACGGTGAGAGAAGGATATGCATATCAGAAGATGGTGCTGATAAGTGATAAATCTCCAAATTGTTCGCAGCAGACTTGATCTATCGATCGGGATCTAGGGTGTGTTTAGTTCACGTCAAAATTAAAAGTTTGGTTAAAATTAAAACGATGTGATAGAAAAGTTAGAATTTTACGTGTGTAGGAAAGTTTTGATGTGATGAAAAAGTTGAAAGTTTAAAGAAAAAGTTTAGAACTAAACAATGCCTAGTCCTATCATTGCATTATCAGAGAGACTCAGAGGAAATATATCAGGTTTTTTTTTTTGCCGTAATACTAGTTGCTCTCTCTTCTTTCTTTCTTTTATTTTTTTGCCAGGCCATATCAAAAAAGCATTCTGATTTTCCTTTTCAGCTTCTAACCATTACTGCATTTCGTTTTTTTTTTTGCCCCCAACTGATTCCATGTCACCTTCCGTCAGTTAACCGCGGCGTTGAGAGTTCAACGAACAGTGCCAGATGATGGATGGTACAGACCGTGCTAAAAACAAAATGAACTGATGAACGCTACTGACAGTCTGACACAGAAACAAAACACAACGTTTCAAAACAAAATTTAGAAACTCCTTGATCCAGTGATACAGATACGGTGGTACGAATAGTAGTTGCGATTGGGGTTAATCTCTAGCACCTCCTGATATTCTCCCATGCAAAAGTACTGGTACTAATAGAAGGCCAGGCAGAAAGTCATTTGCCTTGTCTTCCTTCCTTGACGATCGAACTGGACGAATCAATCACACCTACTAGCGCGTACTTCCCTACCTGATATAGCCACCAAGCTATCAACAGTGTAGGCAGGCAATGCATGTTTGTATCCATGATGGGAGTGGATTCTAAACTATTAGGGCTTCTTCGGTTAATTTATATGAGGGAGAGATTGGAGAGGAGACTAATTCCATACCTATTGTAGTGTGGAATTATTCCCCTTCAATCGTCCCCTCCATCTTTTCAATCCCCTCTAAACCGAACAAGACTTAAGAGGATATCTTTTAGTTGTTTACATGCCATCCAAATGATTATGAAAATATTTGAAAAAAATTAACAAGATAAATTAATATGTAATAAATCATTCTATGGAGATGCAAGTTAAAATCTAACTTCTACAAGTTGCAACGAAAAAAAATTAAACTACGGTTAGTCAGTTAACATATATACGCAATCAAATTTATTTTTTGTTGCAACTTGTATGAGTTAAATTTGACTTTACATGTTTGTGGAGTGATTCATAACATATTAATCTGTCTTGTTGAATTTTTTAAAAAAATTATAACCATCTGTATGACACGTAAACAATGAGGGGATGTCCTTACGAGAGTTTAAAATAGTTCCCCATCCATTATTCCACATATCCACAACCATTTTTACGCTGCAATAATGTATCATTTCAATTACTACAGGACTGTTTGACGGAGAGCTCTGGAGTCTAAGAAGCAGCCGAAGAGAATTCAGCTTGTGAGAATGGAGAAAACGAAAACCATCTTATGGCTTCTCATGTATTTTTTGAGTTCTACAACTACAATTTCTCATAATCTCGACGAAAAGCTGAACGGTTAGGAACAACACATGATTCTCGGAGAAGCTCTAGCTACCACAAGCTTCCCAATAGCTTTCACTCTTCATGTACTTAGTCTATGCAACAAGATTCAACACCTCCCCCATCTCATCAGCCATCACTGATCTAGCTCCCCAAGGTGCACATCAAGTAGTCCAAGGGAGCAAAACAAAAGGAAGGAGGAAGAGTGATGGCATTAATTAACTGTGCTGTGTAACCCTGCACACATGTACTGGGGTAGGTGAGGCCATTATAAGCTTAGCTTCAGCAGAGACAGGAATACTACACAGGAAGAAAGCCATAGCCAGATCCATAGGGTTCTTTTCTTCCCCCTCACTGTTCTTCTACAGACTTCAGAGTTCAGAGCTGTAGACGACGACACACACCGGCCGGCCGGCCCCCTACTCCCTCTCTCATCATCTCGCCATCATCCATCCATCTGATTTGATCGTTCGTTCGTTGCAAAGCATATCTCGATCGCCAGCAGCAGCAGCATGGCCTCACCGAACAGGCACTGGCCGAGCATGTTCAGGTCCAATCTTGCCTGCAACATCCAGCAGCAGCAGCAGCCTGACATGAACGGCAACGGCAGCTCGTCCTCTTCCTTCCTCCTCTCGCCACCTACTGCTGCGACCACCGGCAACGGCAAGCCCTCCTTGCTCTCCTCAGGTAGTACATGCATGTCACTGTTCAGTTCTTGCCTAGGTTAGGGTTTCTTTGGGGAGTTCTTGGTTAATTTGATCGGTGTAATTTGCAGGGTGTGAGGAGGGGACGAGGAATCCGGAGCCGAAGCCGCGGTGGAACCCGAGGCCGGAGCAGATAAGGATACTGGAGGGGATCTTCAACTCCGGGATGGTGAACCCGCCGCGCGACGAGATCCGCCGCATCCGCCTGCAGCTGCAGGAGTACGGCCAGGTCGGCGACGCCAACGTCTTCTACTGGTTCCAGAACCGCAAGTCCCGCACCAAGAACAAGCTGCGCGCCGCCGGCCACCACCACCACCACGGCCGCGCCGCCGCCCTGCCGCGCGCGTCGGCGCCGCCGTCGACGAACATCGTACTCCCCTCTGCAGCGGCGGCGGCGCCCTTGACGCCGCCGCGGCGCCATCTCCTCGCCGCGACCTCCTCCTCGTCCTCCTCCTCCGACCGCTCCTCCGGGTCCAGCAAGTCGGTGAAACCAGCTGCTGCCGCGCTGCTGACGTCAGCCGCCATCGACCTTTTCTCGCCGGCGCCGGCGCCGACGACCCAGCTGCCCGCGTGCCAGCTCTACTACCATAGCCATCCCACGCCGCTGGCACGTGATGATCAGCTCATCACCTCGCCGGAGTCGTCGTCGCTCCTCCTGCAGTGGCCGGCGAGCCAGTACATGCCGGCGACGGAGCTCGGCGGCGTCCTCGGCTCGTCGTCCCACACGCAAACCCCGGCAGCGATCACCACCCACCCATCGACGATCTCACCCAGCGTGCTCCTCGGCCTATGCAACGAGGCACTAGGGCAGCATCAGCAAGAGACCATGGACGACATGATGATCACCTGCTCCAACCCCTCCAAGGTGTTCGACCACCATTCCATGGACGACATGAGCTGCACCGACGCGGTGAGCGCCGTGAACAGGGACGACGAGAAGGCGAGGCTGGGGTTACTGCACTACGGCATCGGCGTCACTGCTGCTGCAAATCCGGCACCACATCATCATCATCATCATCATCATCTTGCCTCTCCTGTGCATGATGCTGTCTCGGCTGCAGATGCTAGTACGGCGGCCATGATCCTTCCATTCACCACCACTGCTGCTGCGACGCCGAGCAACGTCGTCGCTACAAGCTCTGCACTCGCTGATCAGTTGCAAGGTATGTTTAATTATTAGTACTATGTTCATGCATGCACGGATGCCCCTGCAAAACAAAGTTCAATTGGAACAACTAGCCATGCATAGCACATTCATGGTCATGTTGCAAGTCGTACTACTACTGCTACTGCTTCCCCGTCCCAAGATATAATCATTTTTTATTCTGACACGATCTTCGAGATGCTACTTTGACCAACAACATCTATATAAAAGTAAGATGTTTTAAATAAAATGAGTTGCATATTATGATAAATTATTTAATGATAAATTTAATAATATCAATTTTACGTGGTTGATATTTCTATTATTTTGCTATTAATTAATAGTCAAAATTAAAAATATTTGACTTGAAAATATGCTAAAAATATTTATATTTTGGATGGATGGAGTACTATACTCTGGCCATAGCTAGTACAACTTGTCTCTTCCCTTTTTTGTTGGTTATCATATGCATGGATTGGATGCTAGCTCAGCAGTTTGCATTGTTCATGTTTGTAAGCATGTGCATAGAAGTGTCTCCTCACGGGGGGTCACCACCAAGCTCAGCTCAGCTCAGCTCAGCTTGGTGTAGTGCATGAAACGTTGTGCATGCATGGCCATGGCCATGGCTAGCTATGGCCTGTCTCGATCTACCTGCAACCTTGGCTCTAGCAAGCCTTGGCATAATTGGAGAAAGCAGAGAGTACTCTTGCCGCCCTGATGATTCGAGTAATGGCTAGAGACAGTGCAACAACGTGTCCTTTTGTGTGTTAGCTTTGAACAGTTGCAGCATTGGATTGTGTTGCATTGCGTGCAGCCACAACAGTGGGCGTTTATATGTAGTACACGGTTGGCTCCAATCTCGATCTTGCGATCACATGGGAATGCCAACAGCTACATATGTACGCATGCATGGTTGCAGGCAATGAGACAAGGTTAGGCTATGTAAAAATCTCCTGTTCCATGCACCGATCTTGTCATGCTATATGCAGCATATATGCTAGCTGTTGATGCAAAGAGGGACATTTCCATGACAGAAGGGTAGAGGGGGACTTGGCAGCTTGTATGTGTGTTATATGCATATGCATGCACGCGTAGATCTAGGCTGTTGAAACTATAGCATAGAAAGGGCCGATAACTGTGAGCTGTTCTAGCCCCCCAAGAGTGGACAAATATGGATGGTTTCACTAAGAAAGAGTAATTATATTGGCTGTTCAATTTCTTGATGGGAAAGCATCACATAGACGGATAGACATAGACCATGCATGCACATATCTATATATATGGTACTCCTACATTCCACACACATTTTGGGTGTATTCCAAATGAACACTTTTATGTCATGAAAACAACAGCAAATTAAGCACAGAACACGTTATGCATCTTGAGCATCTAGGAGTGTAGTACAGTAGTTGTAACTTCGTCACACAAAAGACTTCGTAACCTGGATAAGTACAGCTAGCTTGTTGGTTGTTGCCTTGTTCACAGTTCACATGCATAGTAGAACCATAAGCTAACCGAGAGAACCTAGATATTAACTGAGAAATTAAAGGGTCATGCATGATCATGTATTGTACAATATGAAAGTGATTTCATATCCCTCGAGAGTTATCCCATCGTTTTGTGTATGCCATCTAAATAGTCATAAAAAAATTTGGTAAGATAGATTAATATAAAATATATCACTTTATAAATATGCAAGTTAAAATTCAACTTCTACAAGTTGTAACAAAAATAACAAATATAGCTTATTTTGTTTTTTTGGTAACTTATAGAAGTTGAATTTGGTCTATAAATCTTTTTAAAAAAGTTTTATAACTATTTAAATGACATGTAAATAATGAGGACGTCCCCTCGAGGATGAAAATTCATATCCATTGTACAGTATGAGAAGAGATTAGATGCTATAAAATATTTATAAAAAACAAACTGAAAAAATAATAGATGGATAAATTAATCATGAGACAGAACAAAGAGTGGAGTATCGATCAACAGTGTCGTAGTCCAGCTTAGGTCTGGGACGTGGATCGAGATCATAAATGGCACCCTTGTATGGTCATGTCGCAGTGCTTCTTTTCAAGAGGCGATACCGGGGTTGGGGTAAAAAGATCTATCGAAGGCTTTTTTGATCAATTTGCATGCGTACGTTGTTGAAAGGATTGAAGGCGACGGTGCTCAATCAAAATCCTCTCTTCTTGGTTGTTGCTGCTCGATCTCCAAGCAAACACTTGACTTGAAAGCTGGTAGCTCTATCTTTCAGGGCGTTTGTTCCGAGATTGGACGTGTGCATGGCATCCTTCTTCTCAAAAAGATGCTTTCAACATCGCCTCTCTCTCTGGCTTGGATTTCCGCATGCATAGATATGCTAGCTTTTTGGCAGTCATAAACTTGCCAGAGGTTTGAATAGCAGACTGACTTTTTGCATGCACAGATCAGATTATTGGTTTGAGGTTTGGAATAGGAGAGTTTTATATAGGATTGAAGTATATGAATTTTTCCCATATGCCGCCCTTTGGTTTGAAGTTTTTGAGCGAAAATTTTTATATCCTTGATTTTTTTTTTGAGGATTTCAAATGTAAGCTCAATACACCATCGTCTATCTTCAATCTTCATCTCTCCTTGCAACTATATTCTAATAGTAATATTTTTTCCTCTAAAATTTCTCTAAATTTCATGCAAAGGATCTGAATGACCAATTGGACTAGTTGTTGTGTTTTCAGTTCGTGTAAGCCTATATATATATACATATGTCATGACATCCCGGAGTCCTAAAGATGTTAATTAAATTTGGTTTGAATATATAGGTTTAATTAAAGTTTGGTTTGAAAATACAATTCCTTGCAAGCTGCAGGGCTGTTGGATGCTGGGTTGCTGCAGGGAGGGGCGGCGCCGCCGCCGCCCTCGGCGACGGTGGTGGCGGTGAGCCGCGACGACGAGACGATGTGCACCAAGACCACGAGCTACAGCTTCCCGGCGACGATGCACCTCAACGTGAAGATGTTCGGCGAGGCGGCCGTGCTGGTGCGCTACAGCGGCGAGCCGGTGCTCGTCGACGACTCCGGCGTCACCGTCGAGCCGCTGCAGCAGGGCGCGACCTACTACGTGCTGGTAATTAAACCTCAATTTGCTCACATTAACTCATATAATATGTCGTGCTAATAAATAATCAAAAAATTAACTAGCATTTTCTCGAGCTAATTAATTGAGTGACTTTACAGTCGTTATAAAGAGAAGTTATCATATTTTCTAATGTAAAATTTAGTAACTCTCGTTATCTTCAGTATTATTAAAAGATATCAAAATTTGCATTAAAAATATTAATACCTATTAAGTACTATAAAATTACTCTAATTAATATGTGGCTTAATTTATTTATCATTTTTATGTACTTTCTTATGCATGCAGGTATCTGAGGAAGCTGTGCATTGAAGCCGTATTACCTTGATTACATCCACAATTCGGCACTGATCATGCTTGCTGCATGCGATCGAATCATCGATCATCTAAGAGATTCTAAGTTAATTAGTAATTCGCTCACTAGTTTGGTAATAGCTAGCTAGCAACCTTCATCGATCTGTTATTTCATTCAGTACGTACATGTCTACTTAAAATCACTGTCGTGTAGTACTGTACGTGTTTTGCTCGTCTGATCAAACAGCAACATGCATGACGGTTTTAATTTTGATGCAATAACCAGTGGAGTAAACCACATAAATCTATCATTGCAAGCACTGAAACTTTTGGACTCTCTTTGAAGCCTGAACTCTGAACATGTATACATGCACGGCGTGCATGGATGGTCTGCTGAAAACTGCACACGCTGTGGGATTCAGAGAGAGGCAGGAAGGGAAACGAAAACATTGGTATGGTCTGCAGGGCGCATGCATGCAGATTCAGAGCCTTTTCGCGCACTTGAATGCATATGCATGAGTTAATTTGCACACTGTGGACGCAGGGGAACACAAGAACAATGGCATGCATGCATACGTTTCGTGTAGGGCAGCTGCTGGCTAGCTTCTCCCGTACAGTGTGCTCGTGCGTGTGTGCTGCTAGCTGGGAAAGTGAAATCATCCCTCGATATCTTCTCGTTTGGTGCATGTCACCTAAATAGTCAAAAAATTATTAAAAAATTATCAACATATATTAATATGAAATATATTACTCCACAAACATGAAAATTTGAATTCAATTTCTACAAGTTGTAACAAAAATAACAAATATAGTCGAATGTGTGATAACTGTTTTCAGTTTAATTTGTTATTATTGTAGCAACTTGTAGAAGTTGAATTTGGCCTTGCATGTTTGTGGAGTGATATATTTAGTATTAATCTATGTTGTCAATTTTTTTCAAATTTTTTAGTAACTATTTAGATGACATGAAAAAACGAGGGGATGTGTCCTCGAGGGATGAAAATCCACATCCGTGCTAGCTTAGCTTTCACCGGTGAGGTTAGCTAGCAGGCAGGCAGACAGGCACAGGGCAACGGCAGCCAGAGCCAGGGCTGGGCTACGCAGACCAACTCTCTGTACATGTTTAACATCACTCGCTCGCTTCCTCAGAATTAAAAGCGAAGCTTTGTCGTCAGTAAAGTAAACAGCGGGAAAGTCTTTTTAGAACCTAGCTAGCCACCATATGCTTACATCAAGATTCGGGCGTAGAGCTCAAGTGAAAACAATGTTGCGAGTGAGAAATATATAGCACGTATCACGAAAGAGAATTTAATAGTTTTTCTCTTAAGGTACCTAAAATTTACACTACATAATTTTATACCTTGATATACTTAATGTTTATGTAGGTAACAAATTTTATATAAAAAATATGATATATTCTGGTATCTTTTTAAAGATGATAAAATTATCCATATACAAGCGCGCTAGGTGCATCCAGTAAACAGCTACTAGCACGAGCATGAGAGGTGAGTAGCTCGTATGAATTGTGTTAAGGGTATAATCCTATGCATGTGAATGGTTAGCTGCGTTGGTTTTTGATGGAATATAAGCCAGTCGTCATTGCTAAGAATTTGATCGAGTTTTCGGTGCTAAAAATATGTCCTTAGAAAATGTCCATAAATTAAAGAGTAAACTTCACTCTAGCTTGTGTATACTGATATATGTTCCGTAGGTATTACTACTCCTTTATTTATTGTATTCATACTAGATTATTAATTAGCTGATTATGGATGTAATTCCTCCGTTCAAAGATGTACTTCTAGCATAATAATTTTGTCTCAAAACGAAGCTATTTCTTCACTCACTCTTTCCTCTCAACCAATCACAACCATTCCCTATTTAATTTTTTCACCTACTTTCTTTTCTCAACCAATTAATTACGATCTTCCTTCAATTAATTCTATATACTTTTTTAATATCCGTGCTAACCGGATGTAGTAAAAAAAAAGGCAAATTGACGACGATGATTACGTGTACAGTACAAATTTAACCTCTCCGATATTCATTTCTAATGGCCTGCAAAAGGCCTCAAAATGAATACTATATACATACATGTTACATACCTTGAACAAATCCCCTAAATAAATGCAGAATAAGTTCGCCTTGGGTCTCTCTATTTGTTGTCCAGTCCAATTTTCGTCCCTTGACCGCAAAACCGGGTACCTTCCGTCCCTCAACTTAGAAAAACCAGGCAAACTTTGTCCTATGGCAGTATGGTAGGCGGTTTTGACCTATGTGGCGCATTGACCATCCCACGTGTCGCGCTGACCACGTTTCTCCTCTTCTTTTACCGCGTCGCTGCGTCGGCGCTTCAGGATGGTCCTCTCCTGCGTCAGCGCGGCGGGAGCGGGAGCAGCGGAGGACGGCAAGGACAGCGGGAGCGGGTGCCGCGGCGCTCGCGGCGGAGGACGGCGGAGTGTGGCCCACTCCAGCACGAAGATGGCGGCGCCGAGGCCACCGACGAGCTTAAGGATGACCTCGCCGTCCTCCTCCCGGACGTAGGACCGCAGCTCGGCGAGGAAGTCGCCGGTTCGTGTAAAGGCGAGCAACGTGGCGGCGCCCTGGAAGATGGCGGTGAGGACGGCGGGAGAGGGAGCAGCGGAGGATGACGAGGACGGCGGGAGCTGCCGCCGCGGCGCTTGCGGCGGAGGACGGCGAGGACGTAGAAGCCGAAGCCCTCGTGCGCGATGGCGGCGGTGAGGTCGGTCCCCTCCTCGAGGGGGGTGCGGCGCAGATGGAAAATTTGGTGGTCTGGTAATCGATCACACCAAGAAGAAGAAGAAAGCCAAAGGCACCGTCATTGGCTCCTCAGCTCTGGAGCAGCTATCCTCTGTGCCGGAGGTAGGATCAGGTGCACTGTCAGGATGGGATTAGTTGTAATGAGCTGCGAGTCTGATGATTGGCGATTAATGCTTTATGGAATGTTGGAACTCCTTATTTTTCCTTTATTTGCAAACCGAGCTTTTGTATGCACCATCTGCTTGTTTTTGTCACTTTAAACGTGCAAACTGACTGGAAATTTTGTAGAAGTTCAGGTTAGAAGTTTTGTAAAAGTTCAGATGATGGGGAGCTTAATTTCCCTGAACTCAACAGTGTTGCTGCTTTTCATCCTGTTCAGCAAAGACGCAACATTTCGTACTAGTTTTTTCTGAAGATTTGCTTTGCAATACATTAAGAGAAACAGAAAATATGCTGGGCTTTCACCAGATACATGATGTTTGAAGATGATAGCAAAAATCTAATCTCATCAAGTGATGTGTATAAAGAGGGCAATTTCTAAGATAAGGCCCAGATATAGCGCGAGAATTGGATTATACAACATCGTAAACAAAATCCCATCTTCATGTCCACTACAGATCATTGTGTGTCGGAGCACTTCAAAACCTCTTGCAAACAAATTCATATGGAGGAACTTTATCAACCGCAGAAGGAGCAAGTCAATAACTCCACGGCCGTGGGCGGCGGCGGCGGTGGGGGGAGGCACGGCGGGGTGCCCGCTCGCCGCGACGCTGGCCGATCCTGGCGGCGGCCGCGTGCTGGTGCTGGAGCGGGGCGGCGCGCCCGCGGAGTTCCCGCCGCTCGCCACCGCGGGCGGATTCGTTAGGACGCTGGCCATGGCGGACCCGGCGCCCGAGTTGGACGCGCCCGCGCAGACCTTCGTCTCCGAGGACGGCGTGCCGAACGTCCGCGCCCGCGTCCTCGGCGGCGCCACCTCCGTCAACGCGCCCATCCTGTTCCACAACCACGGCGAGAAGCGTCAGAGGCGCAACGAGGAAGAAGAGGGAGAGCCGAGACCACCATATTTATTTTTTTATCGCTGACATGTGAGCCCCGCTATTTTTAAATTATTCTTTTGTATGTGGCTGACAGGTGGGCCCATGGTTTTTATTATTTTTTCAAGATATAATTGCCACGTAAGCGCCACGTGGGACGGAGACCTAGTCAAATAAGCCACGTAGACGCCACGTCAGCCAAAACCGCCTTCAAAATCACCGAGGGACCATATTTGCCTGGTTTTCATAAGTTGGGGGATGGGTCGTACCCGAATCAGCCTGGACGACAAATAGAGGGACCCAAAATAAACTTATTCAAATAAATGCATATACACGCTAAAGAACAACCAATCTTACGGCCCATTTGTAAAGCCCAAATCCCCCCAATAATCCAGCCCAATCCCCAGGAAATTGATTTAAACTGACTTGGGCTGTCATCCCCATAGATTGACCCTTCCAATTGGGCCTGTAGTCTGTAGCAGTATCTTAGACTTCAGCACTTCGGATAGCTACCTAGCCTAGCTACTTGACCATCTAGCTTACCTTGCCATGAACACATCACTAGCTAATTAATTGATCATCCTCTTAATTATACAAGAGGCGGGAACAAATAATCCCAATACTCGCCACCAATCTCCTCGAAATCGATCACTCCTGCGTCACTTTTCGAGCATTCTTGCATCGAAACTTGATCTTTTTCTGAAGCGAACGACACCATGTGATCACAGTTCGTCGCGGTCTGCACGCCGGAGAAGACGACGCTTCTTGCTGCGGCATCGGTGGTGGTGTTCGCTCTCGGCCTCCTCCTGCGGCGCGCGCGGGTGGAGGTCTGATCGGAGGAGGAGCGGCCGCCGGCGAGGTCGCGCTCGAGGTGCTTCTGCACGGTGGCGAGCGGGAAGTTGAGGTGGGCGCGGTGGCCGCGCATGCGGAGCGCCGCCATGTCGTACGCCAGCGCGGCCTCGTCCGCCGTCGCGAACGTCCCGAGCCACACCCGCGCGCCCCTCCTCCGCGTGTCGCGTATCTCCGCGGCGAACTTGCCCCACGGCCGCCGCCTCACCCCGCGGTAGCTCCTCCGCGCCGCGGCCGTCGCCGTCGTCCTGTAGTTGGCGCCGCCGCCGCCACCGACGACCTGGTTGTGATCACCGGGGGAGGCGGCGACGAGCTGTAGCTCGCCGGAGGATTCCGACGCGAGCGCCGCCCCGCTGAGCAGCAGCTCGTCCCACTCCTCTGCGCCCATGGATATCCACCTCCCCAAGCTCGGCAACCTCTGCAAGATCGCCGAATTCTCCTCCTGACCGGTCACCGCCGACGACGACACCGCCACCGACGACGACACCGCCGGCGACGACGACGACGTCATGATGCTGGCCCACACGTTCTCGAGTATGTTGCTCGTGTCATGAGGCTGATTGGAAGCTGGAGCCGCTCCGATCGCCATGACCGATCGATCAAGCTCTGAAGATTTTTTCTCTTCTTCTTCTGAAGATTAGCACAGTCCATTTGCACCGTGCAATATATATCTATCTTGATCGAGGTGGCTGTGTCATAGCTGAGCTGACAATGGCTGGCTGGCTGCTTTGCCGATTTCTGACAAAGCAAGTCAGCGCGTGTGGCTCGTTTGTGAAGCCAGCTAAGGAATTTGCATGAGAGGGAGAATTCGGTGGCCTGAAAATGAGTGAACCCGAATTAATTCAGTCGCGGCGCAAGATCTCTGCAGAAATCCAGGGATGTTCACGCGTGCATGGTATCTTGAGGTGGTTGATTTTGTGCTCTGGAATGCATTCTTTTCTCCAGCTTGGTTGACCAGATGCATGGCTACCATGTAATGCTTAGGTCAGCTCCAGTGTTTCGGAGTTCAGATATCAAAGTTGCAGGTGTTCTCGTTAAAGAATTTCCAGCTCATATTCAGAATGTCCTTTAAGAAAAAGGCATGTATTCAGAAAATATGTACAAATACTTCTTTGGGCACAATAAATGTATTTGCCATTTCATTCATACTTTCATTCGTGAAATTGGTGCAATTTTGAGGGAGATGAGTCATGTGAATTCTGAAGAGAATTTGACACATTCATGCATGGCAAAGTATTTTATTCTTATGTCAGCCATGTAATTGCACTGTTGCAGTACTAGACTATTGGTTATGACATACGACATCCCCATCGATTACACAAAAGAACTATATTAAACACTAAACATTGATCAGGAGCAAAGCATCTCCTTAATCAAATTCCTTAACGAACAAGATAATCACATAATGATTGCGTCATCACAATAGCAGAGGAGGGTTTCTTTCCTGAATCCAGTTGCTTGATCTGCTTCACAAGCCATGCATGTTCATGCGTACCGTAGGCGCCGCATGCATTCAGGCACAAGACCCACTTGTTCCTATCATTGCATCCACTTGTTAAAATCATTGCATCTGAATCGATCTGTGGGTCTTATCTTTGAACACGCTCTAATATAAATTTATAATAATCCTTACCTGACAAGTCAACCGAGCTGAAAATATCACTCAATCCGAACACCGTTTTCAATTCTTCAGGCTAGCATGCAAGTCGCTTTCTGATAAAACTGAAACAGCTTAGTTTATCTGACCGCTTGATCTTGAAGCTAAATACTAGCTAACTAGGCACCGTTTAGTATAATCTGGAGTTTGGGGCTGGAACATGGAAGCAGTGTGGTTGAAGCCTGACTTTCTGGAGGAAATCGCGTGTTTCCCATCGTTGCATTGCTCGTACGTTGGAGCAGGAGATGTCACAAGTGATAAGATGCTTCTGGGTGCAGGAACTGACCGTGATATGCTGCGATCTCTGATGGTGGCCATTGCTCGTCCACAAAGGGCAGATAGCTTGGGCAGGTTGGAACAGAATGTTTTGTGATCTTTTGCCTCTGGGTCAACTCATGCAGTAATGCATGTATGACGCGATGGTTAGCTTGCTAATTGGAATCGAGAAATAAAATGAGCATCCATTTTCACAACAACTTTGCACTACCAAGTACAATCGTTTCCGCAATCTTCCCGAACTGCAAATCAGGGTCTTGAAATCAGCCCAAACCCCCAAAACCACTCTTCATCGTGCGTGGTGAGTTTTGACTTGAAAGGCCACACATTTGACAGTTCAGATTGATGAATTATCTGATTTTTCCTCATAGCTATTTGAGAGTATAAACGAGTGAATTAACTATTATGAAATAGAAAAGTTGCTTTAGAAAAATATATTCCAATATTTATTTTACACGAAAATGCGTTGATTAATAGCTTGGGAAACATCTATAAGAAAATCTAAAATATAGAATAATAAAAGAGAACAGGGCATAAGCCAGTCATAATAAAAGAGAGCAGTCTAAGTCAATGGTTGTGTTTAGTTCACATCAAAATTGGTAGTTTGGTTGAAATTAGAACGATGTGACGGAAAAGTTGGAAGTTTATGTGTGTAAAAAATTTTTGAGTGATGGAAAAGTTGAAAGTTTGAAGAATTACTTTGGAACTGTCCAATATCTCTTCCATTTTTCAGACGAAACGTGTAGCTTTATTTTTTGATTTTTTTAGGCTAATCTGAACTCTGAAGGCAGTCATATGGTTGAACCGGCCCATCAACACAAATACACCATGGGCTCGAACCATAACAAGTCAAGCCAGAACAAGGCCCACACTATCATGGGCCGGATCACGGCCCATCTAAACAAGCCTTTCCACAAGTCAGCGACGCAGTCTGCTCTTTCCTGTCTTCTCCTCCACCTTTTTATACAACGCAAATCGCCTCGTCACTACTCCGTACAAATTTTCTTCTGGATCCCACCTCTGCTCTGCCCATTCGACGGCAACGCGCTGCCGCGCCATCGCGCCACGTCGCCTCGTCTTGCCTCGCCTCGTCCAAGGTCAACGAGAGCATGGGAGGAGGCCGGGAGGAGGAGGCGGCGGCGGCGGCGAGCAAGGTGGGGTACTCCTCCGGCGACCTCCCGCCGTCGGCGCCGCCGCACCTGCAGGGCCAGGACCCGCAGCAGTACCAGTACGGCACCTTCCAGCCGCCGCCCCATCACCATGCCGCCTCGGGCGAGCTCGCCCGCCCCCCCGTCGGGTTCCCCCAGCCCGCCCCGCCTCCAGGCTTCGCCGGCGCCAGCGGCGGCGGCGGCCACTACCACCACCACCATCAGCAGCAGCCCTACGCGCCGGCGGAGCCCTACTACGCGCAGGGCTACCAGACCGGGCCAGGTATGGCCGGTCTCTCTCACACTGACTCCTGCTTTGCTTGTGCTGCTTTGATTAGGTTTGGTGGGGAAATATGGGGAATTGCAAATCGCAATTGGAAATTTGGAGGTCTTCATGAGCCTCACAGCATCGCTATGCTCTCAATTTCTCATGTCCAACTACAAATTTTCGATGCTTTTGTGCTTGTGGATGATTCAGAAGCCTGACCAATATGCGTGATCCGAATTCCTAACCCTCTTATTTCTCTTCACGGATGGGAAAACCTACTTAGATTTTTGACTTGGGAAGGAAGATGAACTAGTCATCAGCTCAACTACGACCTGGTCTGCTAAAATGTAAATAGGAAAGTATAAACCAAGTTTATGGTAGGAAAAGAGACAGGATAGCTGATTTAAACAACTAGACTTTCACTTCCTGCACACACGACGCACCTTTGATGATTGAAGTGTTGCTCATGACATTGGAGAAACTTTGAGGCGTGCAAATTCATCTAATTTGGTGAATTTGAAGTCAGCTGAATCACTGACCATAAACAGATTCAGCTGAATCTTATTGTGATTCTCTGCCCCCCCCCAACACACACACACACACAAAAAAAAAAGATAAAAGAATATCGTCTTTAACCTCTTATTGTCGCATACACAATGATCACCATATCCTTCTCTATTTTTCCTTTTGAGATAATGTAACTTCAGATCAGATTTGCATTTATTACATTGAAAAACAAACAAGTGAACCCCTAGCATGGAAGTAGAAATTGTTATATGATCATATGGTTCGTGGTTTCTCAGGTTATGGTCCTATTGCTGAGGGAAGGCCAGTAAGAATGCGCCGCCTTCCTTGTTGTGGTCTTGGGTTAGGCTGGCTTCTGTGAGTGTCCATGCTTTCGTTATTCTTGCCATACTACTGAAGTTAAGTCCAACTCCTTACCGAGTTTATCTTTTGTTCAAAAAGGTTTATTGCTGGATTTTTCCTTGCTGCCATCCCATGGTATGTTGGGGCTTTCATACTAATATGTGTCCGAGTACATGACTACAGAGAGAAACCAGGATATGTTGCCTGCACTGTTGCTGTAAGTATATTTCTACTGATGCGCTGCAATCACATTGTTATATTCTCCCTCCGTCACAAAATGTAGCTATTTCTGGCTAAGAATCTGGATCAGAAATAGCTACATTTTGGGATGGAGGGAGTATTATCACAAATTTAGAGGTGAATATGCACCTTTTGTAGATGGAATTTCAGTTTATCTTGGATTTTTTTATTGTGAACCACATAGAAGTAGAGAAATGCAGTCGCATGGTTATATTATTGTCAATAATTCAGAGGTGAACTTGGACCTTACGTAAATGAAATTTCACTTCACCTTGGAACTTTCATTTAACTACATATAAACTACTAGGTCATCTTCTAGATCATCACTATTGCTTTAAATATAAATTGCCCACCTGATTAGTTCTTCATAGTAGATGTCCAGTTTTTTTTGTTCATAAACGGTTGTGCTTATAACATGAATTGCCTTCTTAATGCTTGAATTGACTTCGTTTTGAATTCTTCTGCATCACAAACAGGCTGTAATTGCCGCAATTGTCATCCCCTTGGGGTTAACCAAAGGAGCACACGTATGGTGAGCTGCCTCCGAGTTTCTAAGGAGTCACTGCATGTAAATGGCCTGTTATTATTTGAGACCCTGCACTGGGTCATATGATCATATCACTTGTATATGTGTATGGATGGTAATATAGTGAGCAACTTCAGTGTGGTAATCTTATATCGAACCATTGGACCCTCGGTGTTCATATACTTTGTAATAAAGGATCAATCATACAAGAACCTTAATAAGGAGTAATATACTGCGTCATATCAGATCTTACCCTCGATGCTGAAACGACCTGAATATTTTCGTGTTCATGGATAATAATAAATCAGGTGAGATGCATACTCATATCTATTATATTATTAAAGGAATAGAAAAAGGAGCCTCCACGTTCGCTCTCATGGCCTAGAAATTCTCACATTAATCGGAGAAAAAGAAAAGACAGAGTTCATATAGAAATACAATTTAGAAATAGCTAAAATTAAAGGAATAGAAAAAGGAGCCTCCACGTTCGCTCTCATGGTCTAGAAATTCTCACATTAATCGGAGAAAAAGAAAAAGCAGAGTTCATATAGAAATACAATTTATAAATAGCTGAAATTTGGAATTAAAAAATAAGGAATATTAGAAGAGGAGACATAGAAATACAATTTAGAAATAGTTGAAATTCGGAATTAAAAAACAAGGAATATTAGAAGAGGAGACTAGAGTCCATATAGAAATACAATTAGGAAATAACTGAAATTCGGAATTAAAAATAAGGAATATTAGAACTAGAGTCCATATAGAAATACAATTAGGAAATAACTGAAATTCGGAATTAAAAATAAGGAATTTTAGAAGTAGAGTATAGAGTCCATGTAGAAATACAATTAGGAAATAATAAAAATTTGGAATTAAAAACAAGGAATATTAGAAGTAGAGTATAGAGTCCATATAGAAATACAATTAAGAAAAAAATAGAAATTCGGAATTAAAAAATAAGGAATATTAGAAGTAGAGTATAGAGTCGATATAGGAATTTAAAACTAACTAAAATTTGGAATAAACATAATAAAATTAAAAGTAGAGATATAAAGATACAATTTACAAATAACTAAAATTGCAAATTAAGAAAAACATGGGAAGAAGAGTTTAAAGTCAATATAGGAATACAATTTAGAAGTAACTGAAATTCGAAATTAAAAATTAAAGAATATTGAAAGATGAGTTTAGAGTTCACATAGAAATACAATTAGAAATAATAAAAATTTAAAAATAAAAATAAATAATATTGGAAGAAGAGTATAGAGTCTATCTAGAAATACAATTTACAGAAAATTCGGAATTAAAAAAAGGAAATATTAAAAGACAAGTCTAGAGTCCATATAAGAATATATATAATTTATAAATAACTAAAATTTGATAGTAAAAATAATTAATAACTAACACTTAATATTATATAAGATATAATATGAATATTACCCATTAGTAGTTTTGTAAAGTTATTGCAAAATTTAAAATTATGTTGTCATTTTAATATATTTGAATAATATAATGAGGAAACATATATGCTATTATATGAGAGAAAATATAATGATGCTAGCCGCGCAATCTGCGCGGGCCACTGTGCTAGTTGTAGCTAATCCGAAGTAGGAATAAGTTCACCGGAGGTCTCTCAACTTAACAGCGAGATTTTTTGAGGTACCTTAACCATAAAACCAGAAATGTCTACCCCTAAACTTACTCAAACCGTTCACCGGAGGTCCCTCGACAGTATTTTTTGTCCGATTTTGCTGACGTGGCATCCTAGTCAGCAAAAAAAGTTTAAAAAGTACGTGGAGCCCACATGTCAGCTGCACATATTTTTTTCTTCTCTTTTCTTCTCCTTCTCTTCTCTTTTCTTCTCTCCCCTCTCTTCTCCTTCAGGCTGGCGGCGGGCGCAGACGTGATGGCCGAGCGCGGATGCGGGCGGCAGGCGAGCGCGGCAGCAGAGCGGTGGCGGGCGGTGGGCGGAGCGGACGGCGGGCGAGCCCGGCGGCGGAGCGGAGGCTACGGGAGGAGCAGCCGCGCACCGTGGCCGCCGTCGTCGTCGCCGTGGGCGAGGCGGCACGGCGCGGCCGTTCAGCGGCATCGGCCAGGCGTCGCAGTGGCCGTGCATAGGTGGCTCGAAGTGCCGGCTGACGTTGCACCCCAGTCGCTCGCGCTCCTCCTGTGCCGCGGCAGCGGCAGTGGTGGCGACGGCAGCGTCGCCGGCCTGATCCCATGGTCCTCCCGGACGCCCAGCTCGCGCAGCTGTAGCAGGAGCGTGTCCACGCTCGGCGTGCCATCGGCGTCGTGGACGGTGGTCGGCGCGGGCGCGGTGACCCTCATCGTCTTCACCGACGTCGCGGTAGCACTTGACGTCGTAACTCATACGCATATACGCCGGGTACAAACGGCCGCATGTACATGCGTCTTCGTACGAGCATATATATACATGCATGGAGACGACCAGCTATAGCCTAGCTAGCTTCTTGTTGGTTTGCCGCCCGATAACATGCAAACGTATATATTAGCCAAGCATGTGTATATGGCTGAGCACACTCACATGTATATATGCCATTACGTGCAGCGGAGGAGCGCGGATGCGGGGGGTGCAGTGGAAGGCGAGCGCGGCGGAGGAGCGGTGGCGGGCGAGCACGGCAGTGGGAAAAGCAGCGGAAGGCGAACTAGGCGAAGCGGAAGACAGTGGATGGGACGAGGAGCTCCCCTGTGCTCGGCCGCCACCACCGCCGTACCCCTGCGGGTGGCCGACGATGCTAGGAGAGGCACCACCGGCGGGAGAAGGGGAAGAGGCAGAGGCAGAGATTGTTTCTTGGTCGCCGGCTGCCTCCCCCTCCCTCCCAAACTTGCTGGCCGCCGCGCTCGCTCACCGCTGCTCCGCCGCCGCACTCGCGCTCCGCTACTCTGTCCGCGGCCTGCTCGCGCTCCACTGCTCGGCCCACCGTCGCACTCGCGCCTTCCGCTGCTCCGTTGCCGCGCTCGCCCTCCGCTGCGCCGCCTGCATCCGTGCTCGCCGCTCCGCCGCCGCACTCCGCTCCGCCGCCACGCTCCGCCACCTCCGCTCCGACGCTGGACGGCCGCGCCGCGTTGCCTCGCCCACGGCGACGACGACGGTGGAGAGCCGACGATGACGGCGGCCACGGCGCGCGGCTGCTCCGCCCGCAGCCTGAAGGAGAAGAGAAGAGAGAGAAAAGAAAAGAGAAGAGGAGAGGAGAAGAAAAGAGAAGAAAAAAATATGTGTAGCTGACATGTGGGCTCCACGTGTTTTTTTAATTATTTTTGCTGACTAAGATGCCACGTCAGCAAAACCGGGCAAAAATACTGCCAAGGGACCTCCGGTGAACGGTTTGAGTGAGTGTAGGGGTACACATTTCTTGTTTTGTGGTTAAGGGATCTAAGAAAAATCTCGCTGTTAAGTTGAGGGACCTCCGGTGAACTTATTCCTCCGAAGTAACATGAACCAAAAAGCTACGGCCCAACTTCATCCGGCCCAAACTTGAAAATGAATCGAACAGGAAATTCAGCCCCAGAAAGGCCGAAGCCCACGGCCCATTAGGGTTTCTCGTCCCCCACACATAAATACCTCCTCCGCCTCCGCCTCCTCCCTCGACGGCCGCCACCCCGCTTAGGTTTAGGTCTTCTCCGCCTCCGGTTTCTCCCTCCGCCGTCGAAATGGTCGCCTACAGGGTAAGCTTCTCCTCGCCGCCGCCGCCGCCTCCTCCCTCGCGTTCCGTCGATCCATCGAGCGTGGCTGATCTCTTCGTTTCCGTGTTTGTGTGTTGCGAATTTTTCCGGCGGCGCAGTTCCATCAGTACCAGGTGGTGGGTCGCGCGCTCCCGACCCCCGGCGATGAGCACCCCAAGATCTACCGCATGAAGCTCTGGGCCACCAACGAGGTCCGCGCCAAGTCCAAGTTCTGGTTGGTGTCGCAAGAACTCTTATCTATGATGCCTTGATCCTTCGTGTAATTTCGTTGATGATTTCGTGTTGTTTGTTTGCGCGCAGGTACTTCCTGAGGAAGCTGAAGAAGGTGAAGAAGAGCAATGGACAGATGCTCGCCATCAACGAGGTACCGCTCAATTTGCTCACTTTCAATTTGACTGCCTTGTCCATGCGTATCAATTGCCATGACGTCGTTACAGATCCGCAGGCTGCCACTTTGATATTAGTTTGTGCTGTGGTTTATCTTCCTATCTAATTAGGCAGTGATAAGTATCCAACTCAGTGACATTGACCAAATTTGATAGATCAATTTTGTCTCCATGGCTGGCAGTTATTCTCTACTGGAGATGCTCGGTTACATATAGGACAGATCGTGGATACTTATGTTAGGTCTATCTGTGCGCCTTATGACTTTGTGATACGACCGAAATGCTTGATTTTGTGTGTCTAAAAGGTTTGATCACAAGGAAGCTGTTAGGCATTTAATAAACAATTAAATACCTTTGCTAAAACAATTAAATTCTTTATAGAGGGAAATGTAATTTAAGCATGCTGCTAAGTTGCTAGTCTTTTTTAATTATTTGTGTACAGCCACCCATGTTGATAGTGATTCCACTGTGTGCCCTCATCCCAACTCTTTTCCGCATTGTCTTTCGCAGGGTGTATGTAGCATGTGCCAAGTCAATACATCATGCATTTCTGAAAAATCAGTTGTGTTCATTAGTACTTGAAACTGTCAAATTGGTGTGATTATAATGTTCGCACCTGTTGACAATGTGTCGATGGTGTTCTAATAAACCATCATCTATGGCAACAAATTTTGTAATGAATTGATTCAGTAACATTACTAACATCCGTTATAACAAATTGTCAATTGACTGTTGTGATGTTGCTAAAGTATTCTTTTTTGTTAATTGTATTTTAGTGTAGTTGCATCCTAACAAAGGTCATGCACGTTGTAGCCATGAAATAGTAATAAATTACCTATATTGCATCTTGCTGGCAGCTGTATTTTTCCTTGAATAATGTTTACTTATGTATTCACTGTAAATGAAAAGATTGGCTTGCTAAGAGTCTAGTGTGATACTACATATCTTGGAGTTGAATAGTTAAAACAGTGCAACCCTTCTAAACATTCTGATTGTATCTCAGATCTTTGAGCGTAACCCTACAACGATCAAGAACTACGGCATCTGGCTGCGTTACCAGAGCAGAACAGGTTACCACAACATGTACAAGGAATACCGTGACACTACTCTGAATGGTGCTGTGGAGCAGATGTACACCGAGATGGCCTCTCGTCACCGTGTGAGGTTCCCCTGCATTCAGATCATCAAGACCGCAACAGTTCACTTCAAGCTCTGCAAGAGGGACAACACTAAGCAGTTCCACAACTCGAATATCAAGTTCCCGCTCGTGTACCGCAAGGTCAGGCCGCCCACCAGGAAGCTGAAGACCACCTTCAAGGCATCTAGGCCGAACTTGTTCATGTGATCTACCAGTGTGTACCCATGTTCTGCAATTTAGCCCAAGAATCAAAAGATTTTGTCTGTGGAAGTTTTGGTGCCCTGCTGGTTAGGCATTTCCAGTTTCATATCCAAATGATGCTTAGGCATTTCCAGTTACCCTTCCAAATGATGCTTTGCAAACCCTTGAATTTCCTCGTATTAGTAATCAGCAGACTTCTTGTTACTTCAACCTGGCTCACTTGGAAGTGTTGATCCCTGATGTGCTATTATTTATCTCTGTAATTTGTGATGGCACTGTCTTTCTGGTCTGGTCGAACGATTACATATTTTACTTCCTGTTCCTGGGTGTTAAGTCGCTTTGCATTTTATTGATTGCACCCATCAATGCTACATTGGCGTCAAATTTGGTCGGAGCACTAAGTATGGCATGTACCTAACCAAAGGGAATCAGATTCGCAGCTAATTATGCGTCCATGGTTTGGTTTCAGGTTGTTTGAAAAAGCATATGAGTGAAGAGTTGGCTTTCGCAGCCTACTCTAAACTATTCCCAGGCAGGACCTATTACTCGATTAGCCAATTGATGCTTTTCGTGAGCTAACAATTAGAGAACGGTGGTTGTTGGAAAGGAGATCATGGGCATGATTACGCTTCAGATAGCTGCATTTTTCATGATATAGTAACTGACTTTTAGCCCAAGATAGTAATAATTCCTTAATGAAGTAGTATTTGTGTAGTTAGCATCCGTTAGCACACTTAAGAAGCAGTGCAGAAAGAAGGCACATTTCAGTCAGGTGTTAACAACTCAATGGTGGTTCAATTCGAAGAATCTTCGCAAGAATGCAAACTAGGAAAGCTCCTCGCAGCTGGTAAAATCATCAGAACTCACGAATTTGTACCCCAAAAGGAGGGGACAGGCGTGGTGTTCTTGCAGTGAAATGATCCTTCATCATTTTCTCGAAGGTTTGACCATACTGACTTGTCAATTTCACTACAAACTACGAAGTAAAGGATGGTGGTAACAGCAAATGTACTGATGGTCCATAGAGAAATAGCATCAATTTTTCACCTCCACTCAAAAGAGTGGAAGCAGATAATAGTGGCGTGAACCATTTGGTACTGCAAGGCTGCAGAAATTTCACCTTTTTCTCATTTGATTCGTATGGATTCAGTGTGAGTGCTTTCTGGCCCATTTGGCCATGACCTAATGAGTGCAATTGCAGAAACCATAGAACATATATGTCGTGTCTTTTCTGAATTTTTCTTCCTGTCTCTGAACTATTTCTTCTTGGCCTTTCATGCATGTGCATGTGAGTGCAGAATTACAGATATGTGCAGCACGAATGCACAATCTCTCGTGTGCGTGTGTGTGTGTGTGAGTGAGTGAGTGAGAGAGAGAGAGAGAGAGAGATGATTGCTCCTATGGAGAAAAGGCTAAAAAGAAGGCTGAATTGGTCGGTCGGTCATCATAAGAGAGTAGCATTTGCAAACTGCTGATCCAGTTTCAGAGTCTCAGTTATCTCTGAACTCTGAACCCATCATTTGCCTCTACACGGATTTGATCTCCTAATCAAGAAACGCACGTACATTTACCCTGCACATCACGGCATCCAATTAAGCCACAGCTACACAAGTACAATCCTACAAGAACAAACCAAGAAAACCTGTGTGCTAGCCTACACGAGTCGATAGAAAACGAGAAGCAAGAAAGCGATTAGGGAATGGTGCTGATCATGCTTAGCTCGTCACTTTCCGCTTATACAGCGAAATCCCTTGACCAAAGCAGGACCATCTCTGTCCGTGCCTGACAATGACTGCTTAACAGTTCATCCCATTAACAACAACTTCTACAGAAATAAAGCTCTGAATTCTGTTACGCCATGCAAATCTGAAATCTTTCAGCTCTCCTGGTCAGACTTTTTCACATCTTTTTTTTTATGCTCACCTCTTTTTGTTCGAGGAGAAATCACATGAAATAAAGCGATGGATGGATACTCTTGATCATACAATCAAAAGAGGGTATCTCGCAACATTTCCATGCACATTGTAGAGTAGAGTTGGCATCAAACATGCAGACATGGAGTTGGTAGGAGACCAAGAGGACGAGATTGCTGGGCCTATGGCTCACTAGTCACTACTTTCTACTACTACTACTAGCTCCTGTCAATGGCTGAGGTGATGCTGTTTACATTAGCCCGCTGTTTAAGCATTCTGAACTGCTCCACTGAGCAGATCCGAATCCCAGTTCTTTTGGTCAAGACTTCAGATAACATATCAGAGTTGCTAATTGAAAGCAAATACTGCAGATCGTCTGAGCTTGAACGCACTCAAAAACGACTCATTTGAAAATGACCAGGTTTAGCTAGATGCAACTGTACTTTAATTGCAAGGTTAACGACATCTAGTTGTTGGTGATAAAATCATGCAATACCATTGACACTGCCATATGCTAATCTGTCGGACAAATGAACAGTAACAAGGAAATGACACATGGTGGATTACTATTTTTTTTAGTACAACACATGGTGGATTATGAGACTAAGATTATCTGTAAGAAGTTTAGGTTTAACTTGATTCAAGCATACCTACACATTTCGTCATGTTGACACAATTATATGAATGGAGATACGGAACAATGTCATCACAGTATCTGAAAAAAAAAGAAGGAAAAAAGCAATACCATAACCCAAAGCAGATAACTTTGCTGCGCCTTTGTGGTGACCTAGAAGGTTTGTTGGCCATTGGACTTGGACACTTGCCCTACGAATTAGAACAGTTGGACACCCTTCTTTCAGACTTGCTTTCGCCAATTCGTCCCGGATGCTGATAGAGCAGCCAACAATATCTTGGTGCTTCCTGCTGCACCACCACAAAAAGCCTTCCTTTATACCATCATACCATAGAGCTGTAAAAGCAATGCTGAATGTGATCAAAAGAGCCCATCTCATTCCATTCCATTCCATCCCCCAACAGCACAAAAGTCCACCATAGTATATTATTGCTAAGCAGAGAAAGCAGCTGCTCATATCCAAATCATTCATAGGACACCCCTCTCAAGTTATTCCCCCATGACAACTCTTATTCTTTAATTTGCTTGGCAGATTCTTCCCGTTCGCCTAGAAGTTATCCTGGAACACATCCACATTGTGCAGAGAGTTAGAACTTAGAAGGCATTGGTTTTTCCTGTTCTTTTTGTTCATTCTTTAGTGAAGATAGATTTCTTTAATACGCTTGTAATGCCAGTATTTAAGGTGAGGTAGACCTTTGAAGGAAGGGATGACTTCCATACCAGCATGAGATGATAGTGAGAGAGATGAAGAAATTTTAGCTGTTCTTCTCCTGTCTTTGTTAGCTTAGGACCATCATTTGCTGTTTCAGTTGGCTCTTTTCCTGTCGAAGAGGTTCACCTCTGCTGCTTGATCTTTCCTTTGTGTTGTTTTCTGTTGAGAGGAGACTAAATTGACTAGCATCAATGCTACTGTTTGGAAGAAAAAGACTTCTCGCTGTGTTGGGAAGTTGTTGTACGATTCTTTCGCTTCTCACTCCAACTCAGTGTGCTTCAAGCAGCCCTGATAGTTTAAATCAGAGTTACAAGATTGTCCAGCCTTTGGAGGTAATTGTTCCTTCTCATGTAATTTTGAGGAATTTTCTAGTTCCATTTAACTGCACTACAATCTGAATATCTGGTAGTAGATGATGAATCACTAACTGCAGCACATCAACTATTCTTGCAGCTCACACCCAAACTCTCCCTTCAACTCAAGCTCCATGCCTTCCTGCTCTGGTCTTCGGTTGGTTTCTTGATGCCAATAGGAGTACTGCTAATCAGAGTCACAAGCAATGTGAAAAGCACCAGGAGCATCAGGATTCTTTTCTACTGCCATGTTGCTTCACAGGTCTGTAACCTTAGCTCGCTATCCTCGTTTGCTTGATTAATTTCTCACAAATGCATCAGGTGCAAATTAACTGTGCGTTGGACACATGCCTGCAGATTGTTGCTGTCATTCTTGCAACTGCCGGAGCAGTGCTGTCGATAAGCAACTTCGAGAACGCCTTCAACAACACACACCAGAGAATAGGATTGGCACTGTATGGTTTCATTTGGCTTCAACCACTCATCGGATTCTTGAGACCAGACAGGTAGAAGAACACATCTCTGAAATCCATTTATACAATGGATTGATTTGTCTAAATCTCTGAAGCTTGATGTCTGAACATGCTGTTCATTTCTTCAGAGGTGTGAGGTTCAGGAGCATCTGGTACTTGACCCACTGGCTTCTTGGCATCGCGATCTGCGTGGTGGGCGTCGCCAACGTCTACATCGGCATGCACACCTACCATGAGAGGACCGGGAGGAGCGTGAGGCCGTGGACGGTGCTCCTCACCGTGGAGGTGTCGGCCATGGCGTTCGTCTACCTCTTCCAGGACAGGTGGAACCACGTCGTGCGGCAGCAGCAGCAGCAAGAAGCCGCCGCACTTGGAGACGACGACGACGACGACGACGAGCAGTCGGAGGAGCACGTGTACCCTGCCAATGATCACAAGGAGGTCGCCGTGGTGCCGTAGTGAAATTACAGTAGAAATTGATACAGAATCAATGGCGGATTTGCGCCAAATGCTTTGATTTGAGAGAGAGAGAGAGAGAGAGCTTGTGTTGAGGAGCTCACATCTGTACAGTACAAGAAGCTCTCAGATACATTTGCCTTGCTCGATCACATGCGTCTTTTCACGGTTGAGAAAAGCGCCGCCGCGGCCAACCACCGCCGTGGCTTCTGCCGTCGCGCGGATGGCGTCACGTCGGCGGCGAAGAATTCTCGGCGGCGCCAATGTAGGAGAGGATTCCGCGGGCCGGAGTTGGGGAAGAAACACCTAGGTGAGGCCCAACCCCGTTATTGGGCCGCACGAAATCGAAATCCCATTCCGGCCCAACCAATATGGCCCGCACGTAAGTCCAATTCCGTTATTGGACCTCGCAAAATGGAAAGCCCGTTAAGGCCCAACCAATTTGGCCCGCACGTGATCCTTATTCCGTTATTGGGCCTCACAAAATGGAAAGCCCGTTAAGGCCCAACCAAATATGGGCCAGGTCAACGAGCCGAGGTCAACATGTTGAGAGAATCTATCGGCTTCGTCATCCCTAACCTCCCGCATCCCGGAGGAATCCGCCGCAATTCAAGGTCGGAATCCATGGCGTCTCACGACCACGACCACGACCACCACCACCACCACAGCCACGACGACGGCGACCACCACCATTCCCACCACCAGTGCGTGCAGCCGGGCATCTGCCCCCCTTTTCGGCTGGTGGTTTGTACTGATGATCTCGCTCACTGCTGCCTGTTTGACTCGGCGCTTGCAGGGACGGCAGCCATGGCGGCGGCGGCGGCTCGTGGGTCGGGGAGGACGGGCGCGTGTGGCACTCGCACGACGGCCTCGCGCCGCACTCCCACGAGCCCATCTACTCCCCCGGCGACTTCTCCAAGCGCGCGCCGCCGCTCATCTCGCGGCGCTTCGCGGAACGCGCCTTCACCGTCGGCATCGGTGGCCCCGTCGGCACTGGGTAGGTTCGGCCGTTCGGCTCCATTTCACTAGCTACTGTGCTTTCCTGGTAGTGTAGTGTACTATCATCAAACAGTGGCGTGGCTTTCCTGTTTGGTGATGGTTGTGAGTTGTGATGGTAGGTGGAGGAAGGCGCCTGCTTTGCATTATTCTCTGAAATTGTGCATCTTTCCCATGGGTAGGATTGGTGAGAAACTGAGAATTTCAGCGCACAGGGCTTGATTGATCTAGTTTGGACTTTGGAGAGATTTAGGTGTATGCATATCTTTGGCGATAAATAAGTTTACTTCTTCACGCAGATTTAGTTGCTTCAATTGCTTTTGACAAAATGTGTTTGCGAATGTCGGAATGTAATCGTTGTGCCACAGTGCCAGAAGAAAAATAGTGATTATTGGTGTGGTAATCTGGGTTGTAGTTTTCGGTATTCTTGTAAACTTGCTTGCTAAAAAGGCACCTTCTTGTACATCATACCTTTTCTTGCTAAAAAGGCACCTCTCTTGTACATCAAAATCAGTTTTTCTATTCTTGCTTTCAGAATTGTGTTTCTACAAATCTATAATAGAACAGTAAGTCGGTAGCATAAGCTTCCTAGGATTTGTTCTGTGAGTTGATCCTGGTTAGTTTGGAGCAAAAGCGTTTGCAATTTTGCATGTTCCCTTCTATTGATAAAACAAGTATAACAACCATAAAGCATTGCTTGTGTGTGTGTTGTAACTTGCGAAATTAGCATAAGTGATATTTGATCCCTAAAAATGTTTTTTCTGCTGTACAGGAAAACTGCCCTGATGCTAGCACTTTGCAGGTCCCTGCGTGAAAAATATAGTCTCGCAGCGGTATGTGGCAAGATTCTTTTACTCTTCCTTATCACTACATGCTTGTTGGGTTTCAGATCTTTTGCAAGCACCATCTTATCATTTGATTGTATTCAATCAAGAATGGAACTTTTCTTGATTCGCCTCTTGCTTATTTGTAAATGGTAATTCGTAAAGTAAATTCTTGTACAACACGCTTCCAATAATTCAACAAAAAAGTTTGTTGGTATCATTCAACGCTTTCCAGCGGGCTGATATCGAAAGACAAGGATCTATCATTCTTGTGATACTGTTCTTTTTTAACATATCAACCTAGTAGTCTCAACCATGTTTTCTTGAACTCATGCTTGGACTTTTGTCTCTTTGCTCTTTGCTCTTGCAGGTTACAAATGATATATTCACAAAAGAGGATGGAGAATTCTTGATCAAACATGGAGCACTGCCTGAAGAGCGCATCCGTGCAGTCGAAACTGGAGGCTGCCCTCACGCTGCAATACGTGAGGACATCAGCATAAATCTAGGTCCTCTGGAAGAACTATCAAACTTGTGCAAAGCTGATTTACTCCTCTGTGAATCTGGAGGAGGTATTTAACTCTCTGAATCCCAACATTGGAAGCACTTCTCTATTCTTTTTATCATGTATGCTTTTGCAAACCATCCTGGCATCCTGCTACAGACAGAACTGTATTATCTGTTTATTTTGGAAGGCATTGTTATGCTAAATCCAAAATGAAGTGCTAAAAGAAATACTGACACTTGTGCAGATAACTTGGCTGCCAACTTCAGCAGGGAACTGGCAGACTACATAATCTACATCATCGATGTTTCTGGTGGGGACAAAATACCAAGAAAAGGTGGCCCTGGGATAACCCAAGCAGATCTTTTGGTGTGTTATTACTTTCTCCATTCTGTTACGATGCATACCTGTATCAAAGACGTTGATATTTCTGATATGCTTGTACCCTTTTGCATTTACCATTTGATCAATTTCAATCTTTCTGAACACAGATAATAAACAAGACAGACCTTGCACCAGCAGTTGGAGCTGACCTGGCTGTAATGGAACGAGATGCGCTTCGCATGCGGGAAGGAGGGCCTTTTGTCTTTGCACAGGTTCAGTATTAAACCATACACATTTGTTCCTTTTTTAGCGGGGGAAAATTAACAGAAGCTGATGATAATTGCAAGGGACATAGCTCCATATTTACACATGCTTATTTTACACTGCTTCCAGGTGAAACATGGAGTCGGCGTGGAGGAAATTGTGAACCACATCCTGCAAGCTTGGGAGATCGCCACCGGCAACAAGCGTCGATAGCCTGCAGGATTCTTGGGCACGAGATGTTGTTGCGCTCGCGCGTGTAATCATGTACTACTCCAGTATTTCTGCTTTCCTGAATAAACTGCATCTTTTGGTGGCTCGGTGTTGCTGAAAGATGCTAGCATACAAGCCTCCGAGACTTGTCTAGCTGACAGTCGAGTCCATAATCTAGTTCTGAATGACAAAGTGAGAGGTCTAAACTATACCTCGAAAAATTGGTCATGGGAATGCTATTGTCAGCTACTAGCAGTATATAGGTTCCAAATGTCGCCAGGGACATGGTATTTAGTTCTATTGACTGTAGCCCATATCCTCTGGGCTATGGTTGGTTGTTTCCTGCGATGACGGCTGATAAGCAATGTTACACCAACTGGGATCCTAACCCATGGGCAAAAAAAAATTTAGGATCAAAGTAGATAAGAAATTGACCTGATAGACATGAACAGTTAAAACAGGGAAAGTTGCAGTAAAAAACAGGGAATGATTCGACTCCGCTGGGGATCCAACCCAGAATCTCTGGTTCCGTAGACCAGCTCCTTATCCATTGGGCCACGGAGTCCCTGTTGTATTTCGATCTTGATTTTCTCTTCTATGTCTTATTCTAAAATAGCTTCTGCTTAAGTTGCATATCGTGTGAAGTAATGTGGATTTACCCACCACATGCATTTACATAGGCATTGATATACAAGATTGCAAGGGGAATATCTGACAATTTACACGGACATGATGCAAAAAAATTGCATGGGAAAGATGTGACAATCTGACAATTGATTGCAGCTGAAACTTGATCTCAGTTCAACAACGCCACTGGCCAAAGCTACATTACAACCGTCGAAAACGCCAATTGGCACCTCTGCATTGCTTTGCATATATGTTACGAAAGGCAGTAGACTGTGAAATGTCAAGCTACTGCATCTTTTGATAATATTATTGATCGCTAGAGTTTGTCTAGAAGAGGAGGTAACTAGCCCCTAATGGTGAACTGTTCTCAAGTTGCTAGACACGTTCCGTGAAGGCAAACCCAATGCTTCAGCAATACTTTTCACCTCAGCGACCATTGCGACGATGTCGTTAAGTTTGTTGACAGCAGAACCAACTCCCTGCAATCACAAGAAAAGCCAACTATAATCAAATGTTTGAAACATGAAATAACACATGAACTAGTAAGCTATAGATTATTGGGCTACAAAGTTCGTGATGCCTGAAGATTACTCAACCATTCTGCAGAGTTTCAGAGACGGATACATACCACACCGGCAGCTCCTGCAGTTACTGCCATTGGTGCAGTCACTGAGCTTAGCCCAGATGCACACATCACTGGAATTGTGACAGCCCGAGAGATGGAGTATGCAGCGGCCAAAGTTGGTGTTGCCTGAATTTGTTAAACAGTATTTATGAGTTTACATTGTATACTAAATTTGATTGTGAGGTCTTTCTTTTTCTGTAATTTTTGCCATACCTTTTCAATTAATCCAAGCACTCCAGGCTTTGTTGGACTAGAACACTTCCCTCCTTCAGTTTGGATGATATCAGCGCCTTCCTCTTCGAGTAGCTCTGCAAGTCTTACCTGTAATTATGCATAAACGTTTCCAGATTAAACAATTGGTTATTTACCATTTCAGAGTATTGTTGAAGAGATGACAAGTGGTATACCTGATCTAGGAGGCTCAGTGTATGTGGAACTGTTACGGACAGTGTTATATCTGGAAGCATTTCCCTTGTCTCCTTGGTCAGCTTTAAGATCTGAAATGATGAGCAGTTCTTCTCAGAAACAAATCGTGTATAACTGCAGTAAACAGATGCATTATCATAACTGACTACTCATATAATCAAAGAGAACGAATTTACCTTCTCAGAAGAGAATTCGATGCCTGTGTCATAAAAAGAATCATAGTTTCCAATCTCAATCTGCATGGAGAAAAGCTTGTGAGCGGAAGGAACTACTGGAAATTAGTTCTTTCGGATTCATATACTTCTTATCAAAACTTAGAGCCTGACCATCTTTGCTCCAGCTTCTACCGCAGAACGGAATGCTGAAGGATCTACGGAGGAGACACAAATCTGCAACAAGCAATTCCCACAATGCATTTAGAATAGCTAACCCCACAGTTGGATAATGTAGGATAGCTACATGAACGCTTTGCTCACCGGAAGGGAAGTAAGCTCCAGAGCAAGCTTTACTAAGTCTTGGTCACACGCTATATCAACATGGGTGGCACCTCCCTGAAATCATAAAATAGCTGAATAGCATTACAAATGTGTAATTCCCTCCAAAATTTGGCTGTTCTAGTTGAAAGTTACCTAACTTATTAACAAACTTCATACAGAGATTTCTGCAAATATTTAGAAAATATTTTGACTGTTGGAGAAGAGAATGAGATGGCAATATTGGTTGCCTTAGTTCAAAAATTAATGGCTGCTTACTGATTTTGTGGAAGTTGTATGACTTCAAAGAGCATACTTGGGTGATGCAGCGAACTTTCATTGATATATCATAGTAAATGCTGTGCGCTAAAATTATGACTCTAATTATCAGCTAAACAACAGGTCGTCTGCACTAGACTGCAGTGCCGTTTGCTTGTAGACTTCTTTGTCGAGAAAATCAGGAGTGACATAAGCCCAAATTATTTATAGCTACGGAGCACATCAGTAGGCAACTCAACATTACTGTGTTGACTGGGTAAAAATGAATACTAGTATTACTATATTCAGGGATGGATTTCATGATAGCCACGCAATACATTGTTTTTGTCGTTGACATGATTTCAGTTTTTCAGATAAGCCTGCAAAGCTACTCCTAGAACGTAATTGGTACAAACACTTTATCCACATGCAAAGAACCAAACCAAAAAAATAAGCAAGATAAATGCAATATCCACACCTTATCTGCAGCCGAGACAACAGAGGCAACACTACTCCTGTCGAAATTCTGAAGCCCTGAAATGATCTGCAGTGCAAAGATGTCAATGAATATCAGATTCCAGCAATCTAAGCAACATTATTTTTATACTGTTAGGCCTCAAAATCCAGAGACAGCTACATCTACACTTCAGCCTTCAGACATGGAGTAGCATTCAGAACTTAATGCAGTTAAACATTGCATTGGCAGAGCTAAGGCATCAACAAGAACTGGGATTCATAAGAGTGATACCTTGAGAGCTCTCTTCTCGCGGAAGGCCTTGAGGACGGCGTCCTTGGTGGCATCGGCGGCAGCCGAGGCTCTCACGGCGAACAGAGCTCGCGGTGCTCGCCGAGAAGCCGGCCGGCTCGCCGCTGCCGCCGTGAAGGACGATGGCGCCTGGAGAAGTCCCAGCGACCCTGCCGCCGCCATTGTTGCTCCTCTGCTGAAGTGTTTCTTGGAGGGAAAGAGATAAGATTGCACTACACAAGAAAAGACCGTACATATGTTATCTTCGCCTGTGCAAATATCTGACACCTGAAAAATCCTCTCTATAGCAGCAGCTCATCAGCAAAGCCCCTCTCAGTTCTCAGCCTTTGCAAACTGGTCCTCATCTGTCAGATTAGTGTAGCATTGGCAGTTTGGCACAATTCTGAGCTTAGTTAAGGTGCTTCTCTAGTATGCACCTCTCTTGGAGATATTTTTGTGCAGAGAGTTTCTGTCAGGAGATAAGGTTAGTGACCAAGTACTCCATATGTTAATCCATCAGATTATAACACACTTAGCTCGGATAACTGAGGTTACATCAGCAAGCATGAGTAAAATAACACTTTCAATCAGCTGAGTGAACCCTTGAAGTTCATGCTGTTACAGAGAGATGGGCATCGAATTTTGTTCAGAAATAAGAATACAGAACAATCATCAAGTTTTATTAAGAAATAAGAATACAGTGTTAGCCCAAACACTCACTTGCACACGCACAGCTCTCTCTCTCTCTCTCTCTTTCACTCGATGAAACACACACATACAGAGGAGGCAATGACAGAGGAAGAAGATGAACAGCACGCAATGAAACAAAGAGACGCAAGGAAATTTCTTGTCACTGCACACCAGTGAACCACCACACACTTCACTTTCTATTCTCCACACATTAATCACACACTGATTACATGCTTAAATAGCACACACGCGCAGCAGCACACTAGCCACGTTTTTGCCGCACTAACCGGCCACCACTCACATGACTTAGCCACTAATTAACCACTAATCACGTCTCTATGCATGAAGGCCATATCTCTTTGCATGCAAATGCACTAACACACATGCAACACAGCTAACTGATCCACAATCCATGCCACTACTCCAGCTACTTGACTCGGCCACTACTCCCAGCCGATATCCACATATAACTTCCTACATGCAAGCACTTACATGCAGATCATGGATTTTCTTGATCAAGCTAACTCATGCACGCACTAATCACAACTCACACAATAAACAACAAGATTAAGTCTAACATACAGAAGCGTTTCGTTCCCAGTGCGGCATTCTGACGAACACCTTCCTTACTTGCGAATGCCGTTCAGGCGTTCGACTACGGTGATCAATCCCTGGAGGCTCAGGTCGCCGTCGCCGTTCGCCGCCATCGCGGAGAACATCTGCCGGAACATCGCCGCCCCTGGCAGCGCCTTGGCCCCCTCCGGCCCCTCCTCGGTCTCCAGCGCCATGCCAAGGTCCTTGATGATGTACTTCACGGAGCCACCGGACGCGAACTCACGGCGCAGCATGCGCTCGCCGAAGATGTCCATGACGCGCGAACCCGCCGCGCCCTTGGACACCGCGTCGAGGAACAGCGGCGCGTCGAGCCCCGCCGCGTTGGCGAACGCCAGCGCCTCGCTGGCACCGACCACCGCCCCGGCCACCGCGATCTGGTTCGCGATCTTGCTGCTCTGGCCGCTGCCGGGCGGGCCCATGTAGGTCGGCCTGCCGAGGTGGGCGAAGAGCGGCGCGAGCCAGCTCACCACCGCCTCGTCGCCACCGGCGAGGAGGGCGAGCGCGCCGTCGCGCGCGCCGACGTCGCCGCCGGAGACCGGGGAGTCGACGGCGTAGCACCCAGCCGCGCGCGCCGCCGCCGCGACCTCGCGGGCGAGGGAAGGGGAGGAGCTAGTACAGTCCACGAGGACGCCGCCGGGGCGGAGGCCAGCGAGGACACCGGAGGCCGCGTCGAGGACGACGGCGCGGACGTCGCCGGGGTTTCCCACCATGGTGAACACCACGTCGCACGCCGCGGCCACGGCAGCCGGGGAGCCCGCGAGGCTCGCGCCGGCAGCGACTAGGGCCTCCGCCTTGGCCGGCGTCCGCGCGTACGCGGTCACCGCGAACCCAGCGGCGAGGAGGCGCGCGGCCATGGCGCCACCCATGACGCCGATGCCCACCCACCCCACCCGCGTCGCCCCCGGCCTCACCGGAGCAGGGAACCCAAACGCCGCCACGTCCACCTCCATGACCACCTCCACTCTCTACTCCTCTACCTCCCCAAGTGTACCCAAAGCTGTCGCATTTTCTACTCTTACACGAGACAGCGACAAATAAATCATTTCATTGGGTTTTCCGATCAGAAGTCCCCACACGCCATCCATCTCTTGCATTGCATCATCCAAAGAGAAGAAAATACGAATTGCAGTTTGCAGATTGCAAATTTCAATCTTAGCACCGAAAGGTAGGTAGTAGAAATTTACAGCGGAAGCATCAAGAGAAGAACAAAAAAGAAAAAAAAAAGCAGGGAAAATTAAGATGGTTGCAGCTGTTGCACGCCCGATTATGGCGTGGTGTGAAGAGAGGAGAGGTTAGAGGTGGCAGCCGCAGCAGAGGAAGAAGCAGGAGAGCGCGAGGCCGAGCACGACGGCCTCCACGACGTACATGACGCGGAACGCAACCGCGTCGACCACCGCCGACGCCGAGCCGCTCCGCAGGGTCAGGGAGAACCCCGGGAGCCGCCGCTTCCACCGGAGCGACCGCGACAGCGACGCCAGCCTCCTCGACGCCGCGCCGCCGCCGGGCGCGGCGAAGGCGCCGCCGCCCAGCTTCCAGCGCCGGCTGAGCGACAGGTAGTCCCGCGGTATGAGGCGCCGCAGCCAGTTCCCGCGGCGCGCCGTGGCGGCGCGCGGCGCCGCCTCGGCCTGCGGCGACATCGGCGCCGTCTCGGACGACACCGCCGCCCTCGCCGTGTCCGTCTCGACGGCCATTGCCTGGAACGCGCGCCGGCTTGGCTGCGCCGTTGATCGGAGCGGGTTTAGTTGGTGAAAATCGGATCTTTGGGTGAGAAAACAGTAGGAGAGAGAGACGTGGTGGGACGCGACGTGTGCTTCGAGAAGCTGAGCGTCTCGGATATATGCACCTCCGGGAAGAAGTGGGGTTGCCAATTTGCACCCCCAAGATTCTATTTAGGGCCTGTTTGGTTTACAGGGACTTATTTTAAGTCCCTGTCACATCGGATGTTTAGACACTAATTTAGAGTATTAAACATACACTAATTATAAAACTCATTCCATAACCTTGGACTAATTCGCAAGACGAATCTTTTGAGTCTAATTACGCCATGATTTTAACAATGTGATGCTACAGTAAACTTTTGATAATTATGGATTAATTAGGCTTAAAAAATTCGTCTCGCGGATTAGCTCTCATTTATAAAATTAGTTTTTTTACTAGTCTATGTTTAATACTCCAAATTAGCGTCCAAACATTCGATGTGACATGGGCTAAAAAGTTTTAGCCCCATCTAAACACCTCCTTAATCGCGATTTGCTCCTATAGTTTTTTTTTAAAACGATTTGCTCCTATACTGATTATGCATTTATGCTTTGTCTCCAAGGCAACCAACTAACCAAGACGACGTCTTGCTAAGTTGCGCCTCAAATGGCACAAGTTTTTTTTTCCTCTCTATGGATCAGCGATGACGCAGTCGATATGGTAGAGTAATATCTGGTTACGTCATTCTGGGAATTTACACGTATTTTTCGAAGCTTTAGGTTGTGTCTAGATTAGGGGTGAAAAGTTTTTGCGTGTCACATCGGATATACGGACACACAGATAAATTTATTAAGCCTAAATAATCCTTCATTAGCAAATATTTACTATAGCACCATATTGTCAAATCATGAAGCAATTAGGCTTAAAAGATTCGTCTTGCAGATTGGTTGCAATCTGCGTAATTAGTTATTTTTCCGCCTATATTTAATACTTCATACAGGTGTTCAAACGTTCGATGTGACGGGGTGTAAGATTTTAGGGTGGGATAACACCCCCTTAGTTTGGCCTAATAAATTGTTGTTATTATAGAAAGCCGCTGCTCTATCTCAAATAGAAAATGATACACACACGAAAACTTTCTTAGAGACTCTTCGTGCCTATTCAGATTGATGCCATTTTCAAATATACAATTTTTTGGGTAAAGTTGCTAAAAAAATGCCTACATTTAGTTTATTGCCAAACTTTAATAAATACATAAGAAATCATATTAAAATTTTGGTAATATTGCAAATTTACTAAAATTTGGTAAGGTTTATTTTGATTACAATCTGAACAGCCCCTTTTAAAAAAAATTAGACTGGTCAGACTCTTCATAAAAATTGGCGTGGTACACTATGATTTGATCTTAGTTTTAATTTCTTTTCTTTGGTTTGGTTTCATCTGTTATACATATTGTTTCAAGTATTTACTAACGATAATTCAGAAGGGGAACCTCTCCTCCTCGTGAGTGGTGACCCTTAAAAAAATTCATCTTAATTTATCAGAACTTCAAAATGAATAAATCAAATAGTTGAGATATGAATTTTTGTTGGCAAGACTTCTATAATATAACTTGTTAGTACAGTTGGCCTCAAATTAATAGAGAATTAATCATGAGAGTTTAGTACTAGTACAAGGACAAACCCATCTTTTTGTTGTGGCCATGGAAAAAAAAGAATAATTAACTATTTGCCACTCTTATAAACGGTGATAAATGATTTATTACTGGACCCATCTATCATATACACATGAGGATCCATATATTATAGATAGCGCGTGATAAATCCTTAATTGTCAGATTTTAAAAGTGACAAAAAAAAATGTCCAAAAAAAAGAAGTTGCTTGTATCAGGGTGCGAGGTGCAAAGAAGCAACGAAAAGTTGTAAACTACTCCTACAATACAGGCTACAGCCGCAGTACAGCACAGTACGTGTTTATGCCTCATGATGCATCCAGCGAAGCCAAAAGGCAAGCGCACAACTTGCGCTGCGCCGGACGTCGCCGCGCCACGCCACGCCACGCCGCGCGCGGCGCGCCGCACGGCTGGCGCAATGGCGCTGGTGCCTGCCTGGCCGATGAAAATATTGAAAACAACAGTGCAGAGCCGGAACGGAGTAGACTAGGAGTGACGATGCTTGGATGGTGTTTGAATCTCCTGAAGATAAAGATAAAGATTAAGTATTTTACGTAAAACGAGATGGTAATAACATGTGATTATTTGAGTTTTGATTATTACAAACTTAAAAAATAGATTAATATGATCTTTTAGAATAACTTGCATATATAAAGTTTTCGCACGAAACACACCGTTTAGCAGTTTGAAAAGCATGTCACTTCTATCCAAAAGATTATTCAATTTTTGTTGGAGATTTGAACAGGGCCCTTAGTGCAAAGCTGGTGCAGGCCGGCCTAGCCAGGCGTTCGATGGACGACGGATGCAGCTGCTAGCGAAATCAGCAATGGCTTACGTTGTCACTGAGATGTATACTGGTACTAGCAGCGGACGCCACACATGCACTCGCGGCGGATTCGTTTTTCCTCTGCTGGTTGCCTCATGCGATGGCGATGCCCATTGCCCAAGCTCTTCTTTTTTTTATTCAGGTCGTCAAGGTAAGTAATTAATCCATCTCTTGTTCATTCATTTCGCTTGTTTCGCTGTCAAGAGAGCTAGAAGTGGGTGTCGTCAATGTGAGGGTTCGTGTCAAAAACTCGAATTTTCCGTTGAAACCCTTTCTGTTGGGACGAACGGTTATTAAATCTTCACGGAAATTTCGCAGGAAATTCAGACCCAATGCGTTTCTGACACCGAAGTTTCTGAAACGGCTGGTCCGTGGCTCTCTGATTTGATTTGTTCGTGCAAAAGAAGCAGATACAGTACTACTGCTGCTTGCGTTGGCTGGCTGCCGTGCCGTTGGAAGAAAGTTCGGGAGAGCAGAGTGGTTGGGTGGTAGATCTAGTAGAAAAGAACTTGCATGATCCTTCAGTTTTAAAGCATAAACAGCTGCATCCACCCGTTGCTCCAGAATTATTATTTTTTGTTCTTTCAATGTTCAGTAATCCAAATTCCAAAATCGAGACAGATGTTCCAGGTAATTGACCTCTTAGACTTGTTCAGATTGCATTAAAAAAGGATTAGGATAGGACCGATTCAATTCACAATTAAAATAGCACACTAGTCGCTGTAACATATATATACTTAGTATATACTCCGTAAAGAATTCATGTCGCATTTAGACGCACATATCAAGAAGACAAGAACCACCAATTTAAATAAGAAGATGAAGACAAAAAAACTACACCAGCATGGTACTAATCATGAAAAAAATCAGAATAGACAATCTAATGCAAATAGCCGTTAACAAGAGAACCATATGCATATCTGGCCTGAAGAAATCAATCTGGTTCAGTGTTAGTGCAGGCTGAAATTAGGCACGAAAGAGATTAGGACAGGTAGCGCTAATTGACAATCAGATAGAGAATCACGAAGCTTTTCGGCGCGCCAATGCGAAGATCCCGCGCGCATGCAGGGTGTGTGGCACACGCGTATCGGAACATTTGGCCGCATAATTGGCGGCCAAACAAAGCAGCTTATTGCAATCTCTGACGGCGCACAAAGTAGTAGTACTCCGTATTGATATATACTGGGGAACAGAGAAAGACATCGCATCCAGCTTTGCTTCAGATTAACAATTTCAGACAGCAAATTTATAGTATAGTAGCACTTCAGAGTCTTCAGATTAACAGGTTGCAGTAATTCAGTAACGTCACAGGCGGTAGTGTATCTGCAGGATTGCAACAACTGAAGGGAGATTCTTGAGTAGTTGGCCATGTATAGCTAAGCTTCGGAATATATGCCGTTGCCTGAATTCATCGCACGCACTCGATTTTTCCAATGTTTTCAATCCTTGGTAGCGAATCGAGTGGTGGATCGTCACATCACACTCACATCCTCGCTGCTCATTTTGTGAATGTGTTCGTTTCTGCATGTTGGACTTTATCGCTTTATTTTCCCTCTTTCGTAAGAGAACTTATTCTCTTGGTTTATTTTTAGATTGAACAATCCAGTAGCCTTTAGCTTGCTACTTGCTGTAAACTTCATAGGCCGGTGAATACTGATTATGCATGTTGGTTTTTTTTCTCTTTAATCTATAGCCGAATCTGTTTCATGTACACTGTTCTGATCATGTTCCGTTCAGTAGATTGAAAAGGAAAAGGATTAGTTCAGTATACTGAATATACATGTTGGGCTTCTTTTTTTTTTAATCTTTAACTGAATCTGAAAGTAAAATAAAATAGAGCATGGACATCATACTGGCTTGTGATTAGAGGCTAGCCAAACAAGGGGCTATGCCCCCTCTGTCGTAGGACAAACGAATCGGCAAGCCACCTATTCGCCCACTGTAGATACACCTGAAGAATTTGAAGCCTAATCGTCTCCTGGGTGGCATACCAACAGCTGTACCCGAGCCACTGGGAACAAGCCATAGCGTTCGAAAACCAGTGGAAAATGCTGCCAACGAAAAAGGAAGTACCCAAAAAAGGACTTCATACCATAATCCTGTTGGTCGTTTGGTGATCTGGAAGGAAAAAGACCAACAAGTTTTCAAGCACAAGAAGACCACAGCTCCTAGCCTCCTGGCGAAAATAAAGGAGGAAGCGAGAACATGGGCTTTGGCGGGAGCAAAGTGGCTTCAAGTGTTTCTACCAAATACTACATAGCCTCTGTATAGCTCGGTACAGCTTCCTCATTGACGGAGCGTGGGGCTCCTCACCGGGAGACCGCGCAGGCCCCCCTTTGCCGGTTCGGCCGGGGACGCTGAGTGAGGTTCTTCGCCCTCGATCTGAGGAAAGTCAGCGGGAGAGGAAGTGCACAAGACACGGGTGACGTAGACAGATTCGGGCCGCTGAGAAGCGTAACACCCTACTCCTGTGTTCTGGTGGATCTGTGCGTGAAGGAATACAGAGAACCGGAGAGCGAGAGTGAGTTCAGGCTCTCGCCCCTCTTCCCCAGAGTCCCAACCCCCTTTCTCCTAGGCCTGGGCCTCCTTTTTATCTGGTCAGGGGTCACCACATGGGCCTCTAGTTGCCTAAGAAGGGAAACATGCTTTTTACAATGAGGGCTAGTCTACAGCCG